TCTCTCTCTCTGTGATCCTCAGTGCTCTCTCTCTCTGTGATCCTCAGTGCTCTCTCTCTCTGTGATCCTCAGTGCTCTCTCTCTCTCTGTGATCCTCAGTGCTCTCTCTCTCTCTCCCTCAGGTGTACGAGGAGCTGCGGGTGATCGGTGCCGCTGCCGCCGAAGCCAAGGCCCGCAGGATCCTAGCGGGTCTCTCCTTCACCCCCGAGATGCAGAACAGACCCACCAAGAAGTTCTCTGGAGGTTGGCGGATGAGGGTCTCCCTGGCCAGGTGGGTCTGCGCACCCACATGACTTCCGACCTTGATCTACAGCTGGCCGCCTAAATCAGTTGAGCTTGGTAAAGATGCCAGTCATACAATGACTAGATGAGTTTTGCCCCTCCATCCGTAGCTTATTGCTGATAACAATTCGCTGTAGCCAATTGGTTGAAACTAATCTTGGGTGGTATTTAATTTTTCATACCAATATATGGTATTTTGAAAATATTTTCAAAAGCACAGCTATTCTGATATGATGAAACCTTGGTGATAAAACCTGGGAGTTCCTGACACTGAATGAGAGTTCCTTTTATCCGGACTGATGTATCCCTTGGTACATGGAGGATCCTGCCTAGTGCCTCCTCATTCATGTCAGCAGATGGATGTAAAGGTTATGCTCTCTCCTCCAGAGCACTGTTCATGGAGCCAACTCTGCTCATGCTGGACGAACCCACCAACCACCTGGACCTGAATGCCGTCATCTGGCTCAACAAGTATTTGTCACATTGTCATTGCGTGTCATCTGTTCTGTAGTTCTTTCTGGAACTCCTGTCATGTTAACTCCACCCTGCTCTGTTTTTCTTTTTTGTTTTTTTGAGCTCTACCAACTAACACCCCTAACTACTTCTCACTGGGCCCTTTCCTTGTCTTCAGCTACCTACAAGGATGGAAGAAAACCCTTCTCATTGTGTCCCATGACCAGAGCTTTCTAGACGACGTGTGTACTGACATCATCCACCTGGACAACCAGAAGCTGTATTACTACAGGGGCAATTACTGTGAGTACCTACAATCGACACGACGGGTGTATTTGTGAGAGGTGATGCGTCCATGTCTGTTTGTTCCGCTGCCTTGGCCAGCTGTTTCTGTAGCCGTACAAACATCAGAAAATGGCCGCCTTTCCCCCCAGTGACCTTCAAGAAGATGTATGTGCAGAAACAGAAGGAGCTACAGAAACAGTACGATAAACAGGAGAAGAAGCTCCGAGATCTGAAGGCTGGAGGGAAGTCCACCAAACAGGCCGTGAGCGTCCCACCATGAGCCAACTTGAATTACATTCATCTCATATCTGCTTTATGAAAGCATATGCGGTAACACTATGAATGCCATGTCTGTAACAATCTATGAAGACATTCAGAAAACATTAAGCATTATAAAAATAGCTATAGATATTTATAAAAAGGCATAACACATTATTGCCATTTTTCTTATGCATTATGAATGCGCTATGAATCTGCCATGTATAATTTACTTCAGATACCTTCATAATGCAGTACAAAGTATCCTTAATTCTTATACTGATCCTTATAATGCATTATGAATGTATCTATAGTGCATTATAGATGACGGCTTCATTGGAGCTTATGAAGCATTATAATCACTATAATGGCTTGTAACGCTTAATAGAAGATGCTGTAATGCTTTATTAATTCTCATATTGACCATTTTAATGTATTATGAGGGTATCTATAGTGCATTATAGATGACAACTTTAAGTGATACCGAGTGTGCTTTTATTTTCCATGTGAGTCTGGCGTCCATCGTTGGAGGTGAGCGCTCCTGTCTGCGCTCCTGTCTGATTCTCACCCCCGCTGCGTGTTTCAGGAGAAGCAGACGAAGGAGGCCCTGACACGGAAGCAGCAGAAGGGGAAGAAGAAGGGGGCAGAGGAGGAGAGCCAAGAAGTGATGGAGCTGCTTAAGAGACCCCGAGAGTACACCGTCAAGTTCACGTTCCCCAACCCACCCCCGCTGTCCCCCCCAATCCTGGGGCTGCACAGTGAGTCGGCTCGCCCCACCCGACCTGAGGAACCTCCGGGACTCCTCTAGTTTTGAACACATCTTCAGTCAAACAATTTTACAGGCATTTTTGGTTGTTGCTAAATTAGGACAAAGAGATAAAAGAAACGGAGTAGTCAGAATCCAAACCGCTCTATCGTTCTGAGTTTTTGTTTTTCGACTAGTGTCAAAAACGTGGCCGCGTCCGTCGGTCTGTCTGTCTGTTGCAGGTGTCGACTTCACCTACGAGGGTCAGAAGCCTTTGTTCAAAAATGTGGATTTTGGTATCGACATGGATTCTAGGAGTAAGCGAGTCTTCCCTCTAATAAGCCCACTGCCTCTGTTTCATTGATAAGATGTTTATATATATATGCATTAAGTATAATGTAAATTACATTATCCTGAAAAATGATTATTTTCATTCTCCTGTCCCTTGCCTCCAGTTTGCATAGTTGGACCCAATGGTGTTGGGAAGAGCACCATACTGCTGCTGCTAACTGGCAAACTGAATCCTGTGAGTCTGTCTCTATGCCTCTAGGACCCTGTGGGGACGTAGCGTCTTTTGTAAACCCCTCTGGGCACAAGTGAAGTTCGTTTGCTGTCATTTTTTTTATTACCATGTTGTGAGACCAGCTGTGATGTGGATTGTGGTGTGTTGCAGACTCGAGGAGAGATGCGAAAGAACCATCGATTGGTAAGTGTCTGCATGTGCAGCGGCAGTGAGGGTGGTCAGGGGGTTGGGGCGCTGTACCCAAAATCGGAACATCACTGGTCCAGATCCCAAAGTCGGCAGAGTGATTTCACTGTTGGGCCCTTGAGCAAAACCCTTAACCCAGGGGTGGCCAAACTTATCCGCAAAGGGCCGCTGTGTATGCAAGTTTTTGGGATAACCTGTAGGTCAGCTGTTCAAACCCAGGTGTGAGGACTCCTCAGCCAATCAGTCCTCTAATTATCTAACTAGGGAGTTGCTGCAAAAACCCACGCGGATAATATTGGCCACCCCTGCCTTAACCCCTAGTTGTTCCTGGGACAGTCTGACCTTAATTTCAATTGTACGTGACTTTTATCCAAAGTGTCAGCTAAAAGATGATGTAAAAAATTAAAATATGCAAGTTTGTGTATAGTTTGCTTTAGGTCAATTATGATTCTTGTGCCCCCCCCCAGTGATTTTTAAGTTGATGGATAAATCTATTTCTGTAAACACAAGTAAGTTCAGACCACTATAAGGTCACACAAGTATTGATTAATCCGTTCACAGCTTCCGGGAATGCATCGTGATGGGGATGCGGTTTTGCCATTTACTTCAGAGTTTTGAGGAATACATGGAAATGGAATGTGGCGCTTTAACAAAGATCTTCAGGTGGTTCATTTGCTCCCTGCAGAAAGTTGGCTTCTTTAACCAACAATATGCCGACCAGTTGAACATGGAAGAAGCTGCTACAGAATACCTGCAGAGGAATTTCAACTTGCCCTACCAGGACAGCAGGAAGTGCTTAGGACGATTTGGCCTTGAGAGTCACGCACACACAATCCAAATCTCCAAGCTGTCAGGTAGCTGGCTGGTCTCTCTCTGTCACCTTGGGTGGTAGGCCACTGAAGAACCTTGTGGGATGCTGGGGTGGCTTTGCATGACTTGTGTGTCCCACCCTGTGTGTTTACAGGAGGTCAGAAAGCCAGAGTGGTGTTTGCGGAGTTGGCGTGTCGGCAGCCCGATGTCCTCATTCTGGTTGGTCTTCTCCGATGAAGTTGTCTGAGATTCTAAAAAGTTGTCCTTTGGCATCAATCTGAATACCTGACACACCTCTTTGTTTGTTTGTTAGGATGAACCCACAAATAACTTGGACATCGAGTCGATTGATGCCTTATCTGAAGCCATCAACGAGTATAAAGGAGGTATGGCTTTCAGTAGAACACTTATGCCGATTTGTTCTTTAACAGGTTGTTGTTGGAATGAGTGCGATTGCGCAGGTATACTACGGTATGTTTGTGCTGCCCTGGTCACCTGCATCCGCTCTCCTCTCCTCTAGCCGTGATCATCGTGAGCCACGATGCCAGGCTCATCACTGAGACCCAGTGCCAGCTGTGGGTGGTGGAGGACCGTACCATTAACCAGATTGATGGGGACTTCGAGGATTACAAGCGGGAAGTCCTGGAGGCGCTGGGGGAGACACTGGCTCACAAGTCTAAGGAATGAATGGGCTAAGGGGAGATGCAGAACAGAGGGCCAAATTAAGCACATACTACACCGTGTGAATGCGGGGGGTGGGGCTTGGGCATGCATTGTTGTGACCTCTCAACCAATAAAGCTCCTGAACTGACCACTCACTGGAGTATATCATGTCCTTTAAGGAAAATTGGGAGAGAGGGGATTGGCAACACTCCGGCATAGACACAGACTAGACTTAAATTGCCCAGTTGTGCTCCTTTAGCACAGAGGTGGGCAATCTAACCCAGAAGGGGCCGGCGTGTATGCAAGTTTTTGCTGCAACAACGCAAGTAGATTGGCTGAAGAGTCCTCACACTGGTGTTTGAACAGCTGACCTAAATGTTATCCCAAAAGCCTACATACACACTAGCCCTTTGCGGATGTGATTGCCCGCCCCTGCTGTAGCGTGTTGAGTTAACACGCTGCTAGCAGAGGCCCCTCAAATGTATTTAAACATACTTCCTTGACATTTAGAAATTCATATTCATTAAGGTGGAAAACAGAAATAAAGCAATGGATTTTACACTTGTTTTTTTGTAATTTATTTAGTAACATTCACTAACGGTCACAGTATCTTAACACACGCAGACAAATGGAAGGCTGTAGCCCTCAACAGGCGACGTTTTTAAAGGAACTGAATCCAGTATCACTATTTCAGGTAAGCTTTGTAAATCTTCTTCACTTTGGCAACCTCACTCTCGTCTGCTTGTGCCAGATACCATGGGTACCAAGGCTCGTCAGCAGTCACGGATGGGCGTGATGGGGTACAACCCACTGCATCATGGGAGTTGGAATAGTCCTCCCCTGAGTGGTCGACAAAGGGCACTTGGAAGGGTAGCAGTCCTGTGAGAAAGAGATTGACAATCATTGTTTTTTCCTCATTGTCTTGGTTTACTTTTTTCTACTCCCATTGATCTCTTACCATGGTCTCTGGCTGAGTCAATCGCTTTCTTTAGTAGTTTCTGCTGTTTCATGCACACACCTAACACAGGGACCAAAAACCACATTGTCAACTTGTGTCACATCCTGCACATAAGTCACTGCATTCCAATGACACCAACGACCCTGCTGAGGGATTGGTCTACCTGTGCGGGTGTGTTCGTACACTTCCCCAGAGTGAGGATGAACAAACTGCTGCAGTAACTTCACGTTCTATCAAGGGACAATGAGGCAACCAGAGTTCAACAGACATTCACGGGTACATGCAACACATGTACTATGACATACTACATGGAGGTAACTATTACATAGAGTCTGTATTATGTTTATACATAGGAACTGAGCAAGGGGACTGTAAAAAGCATTCTTTATATTTCAAAATGCAATCTGTGTCTTTAAATTCTAGAGCATGCTTCAGCTATCATTATTTTATTATTATTATGCTATAAGAACAGCACCTGTAAAGGTAACCAACCTGATAGTGGATGATGACATTGGGATCCCTGCAAATTGGACATGGATTTCCACAGATCTTATCTCCCCTCTGGAATAAGTATTACCATTACTAATGCAATAATTCACATGTACAATGCAACAAAAAAAAACAACATTTTATGTACAGAAAATGGGAATAACAGGGACAGCATCTGTAATTCACAAAAAGGCATAAAGGTGTCATTTGAGGCCTGGCTGTATTTTCAAGCTCTTCAATGTAGCGATGGAGAAAATAATTAAGCTGTACTTTGTGTCATAAACATTAAGTCTTGCCTTTTGGATGAACAATCATGGTGGACGAGCATTAAGATAAAGTCAAGCTTGCATCCCAGGGCTGCCCATTGTTCCCCTAGATGCATCCTTACACATCTGTCTCTCTGCAAACAGCAGACTCACAATGCAAGTCTTGCGCGTCTGCTGAGGTGGTATGCCGCCTTTGTGGTTCCTCCTGTAGTTGAACCATACTGGTTTGGATCCATAACGGTCTGCATATTCTGTGGAATAAATGAAAAGAGTTGTAGCCTCCTGTTGGACATTCGGATCAAAAACGATGGTGTGTTTAACATAGTGAAACTTATCTTGCATAAAAGCCATGCAACCCCATTTACAGCTCCCAGGACTGTTTATCATACTTAAGGGTGTCAGTCATAAAAGCAATCTAGACAAGAATAAAGTATTCATTGTGGCCACTTTTAATCGTTGGGTACTAACTAAATGATACCACCAACACAATACCTTCACTTTCGAGATAATCCCACGGTCTGTCCTTGTAGCGGGATGATATCTCTTCGGTGTCGACATCAGCACTCTTTTCGTATTTTGATACCGTAGTAAACAATAAGCGATTTGAATGGATGTACACACATGGTGGCTGGAACCAGGTGGAGACAAGGGTTCGCTGTGTAGCAAGCTACCAGTAAAGAATATATATATATTAAAAAAAGAAAAAAAGATTAATGCAGAGGTGCTTCAAAGTCACTCTAAAACGGTTGGTTAATACTGACTCTAAAATGACCGTAACTTAGTCAACAGCTTCATACACCCCAACAGAAGATGCAGTTTACGAGCAATTAATAAGTATATGCACAGTCGGTAATGAACACAAATTATTTTTTCATAATCCAACTGCGATTTAAGTCCATTTGTTATACATTTAATTATACAATACTACATAACACTGGAATATAAAAACAATACATAAAAAGAAGGCTGTTAGCTACGATTTTCATCCAACGGTGAACAATATTAACATATACTATATTAGCTTTCAGCCACGATACCTCAGTCTGGCGAATGCACTGCAAAAGAACAGGAGAAATTCGACTGAAAGCCCTGCTTAACATGCTTAGTGAGGGCGCCGCCATTTTGTCTTCCACTCAGCTGAAAGGTTAAAGTTGAAGGGAAAGTAAAGGTTAAAGTTAAAGTGAACTGGCTAATGTATAGTTTATGAATAGTCTCCATTATTCGAAATCATACTGGAATTAGTAATGGATTTTTCTATTCTTTTAAATTATCCGTAATTAATTACTTTTAAATTTCAGTATTAGTCAGCATATAAGTTACAAAGCACGTGATCACTGCGTCAGTTGCGGGGGGATGACAAATAGCAACACGAAACGGAACTACAGTGTGTAATATAAGAGTACTTTAGTTTAGCCATTAAACAAGATTCCTCTTTTTTTACAGGACAGGGAGAGGACTTTTCCATGTTTCCTATATAATATGCATATGCTTATACATACATGCATTTGCATGGACTAACATTACATCAGCAACTTATAATGGCGCTGCGTTCCCCTGCGCCCTTGACAGGACAGTACAAGGTCATGCATGCGCACGCGCACGCGCTTTCCAAGGCGAGCCCGTGACGTCATTTGTATAAAAGACGGAGTCCACGCCGTTGCGGCCATTCCTGGATTTTTTCTGAGGTAAGTGAATATGGAGCTTTGCTTGTAGGCTAGCAATTTTTTAGGGAAATGATTGCGCAGTTAAAATTTCCCTGTCGATAATTTAAGGCCTTCCCTTTTAAACAGTTATGAGTAGGTTTTGCGAGTATATTTGAAGTCAATAACCAAGGTGTTTGGCCACTAATGTCCTTTTTCCCGTATTTTTATTACAGGTCGTACTTTGTGAAGATTGGGCGTCGAGGACTTTGAACTAAGTGTATGAAGACAAATATCAAAAACATCAAATATTTTTTTCTGCTCAAGTAATGGACATTTGATTACTATTTTTGCCTATTTTTGAGAAGATAAAATTAGTGTAGGTCTCACAAAACCCGCCCAATATAAGCTAAAGCAAAATTTTTCAAACATCAAATTTGCTTTGCTGTATGAAGTCATGATAGCTTATTCTCCTAAACTGTTGTAACAGATCGTTGCTGTAAAGCACAATTAATTATTCCAGAGACGCTGAGAGGAGAGGTATTTATAGTAAGTGTCGATTTTCAAGCGAATTCGAAAGTGAATTTGAATATCTGCCAATATTTTTTTTAAATTTACTAGCTTAGCTAGATACATAACATACATCTCTTTATTACAGTGTTTTATAGTTGTGTTTGGGGAAATAGGGAGTAGTGCTGATTAGCAGGCTAGTTAACTTAATAATGAGCTCACACATGGAAGTACGGAGCCACGCAGCTCTTCCTTTGTGTGTGAGACGGGGCTGACAGTTAAAGTCTTATTTACCGCAGAGATGTCCGTTCAATAAGCAATCTGTACATAAAGATTGCCGCAAGCGTAATTTGATGTAGAAGTTGGAATTGTTTTTTTGATTTACTTGGACTTCTTTTTTTCCAAAGGGAGAGCTCATTGGAACAAACCAGCACTGCAATCTGTGTATAAAGATTGTATGCAGGATTTCGTGGACCTTAAGAGTGAACGGGAGAAAATAGCAGTACTTAAACGCTTTATAGGACACGACGGGTTGGATACATCTAGGCAAAATTACCTTCGTTTAAGCCACCGATTGGCTTTTTGGGTGGGGGAATAAAAGTTGTCGAAGTACGATGAAAATTAAGCAGCAATCTGGTGATAAAGATTGCAAAGATGTGTGTGATTCGGAACAAAAGCTATTAACATTTTGCTTTTTTGGTGGAGTTGCTACAAAATGGCGGACGGGTTGTTGTTTTGCCATCAGGGTAGGCTGTGGGCGAAATGGAGGACTGACGCTTTAATTTGATATATTTTCCCTAACACTTGTCGTTTTATACCAGGTGAAATATTTTTCTTTCGTGAATTCGGTGATTTAGCCGCACGTTTTGCCGTATCGTGTTTTACCCATTTCAGGGATAGTACGTTTCTTTTGAAGCGTTCAATGTTTTTACTTCAAAATGGCCGATGCACTTCTGCCTTTCCGTCCATTGTGCATGGCTCTCCACCAAAGGGTTAACAAAGAGGGCCGGGCTTGAAGCTGTTCGGCTTCTTTCTCGTCAGTTCCGTCTATGTCTACGGGAAACCGAAAGAAGACCAAGCCATTTATAACATGCGAAAGCGAGAAATCAGACTTGATAATCTAGTCCTGGGCAGCACTGGCAAGTTTACGAGAGACAGGAAGCGGTTAATATTTAGGATGCGTGGTGCGATATTCATCTTATAACAATTACGGAAAGCATTAAGATAAAGTGATAGACTTTGGAAAATAATTTAGAATAATTTGATATTTTATATTGGCTAGGTTTTATGACATACATCGTGGCTTGTTTTGGACTTAAGCCACATAATTGATTCAGACAATTCCCGAGTCGGCATGTGTATGATACATTATGTATCCAGGAAAAGAATATTGTGTCTGCCCCCCACATAGTCCATCATGTATGTCAACCTAGCTGCTGCACTTAAGATTCCCAACCTCGTCTTATTTGCTCATGTTTTATAATGTATTCTTGCAAAAAAAAAAGCCAATCTAAAGAAGACGGTGTATGTTAAATCAACCTTGTAGTCTTCCTTATTGTATGAAATTCAGTTGTTGACCTTTCTGTGTTCATTTTGTTTAAGCGTGCATAACATTTGTAACGTTTTCAGGAGTTTGTTCCATGTTACATAGTTGGGGTGTGGAGGTCGGTTCTGAGACTTTAAAAAGTTCGACAACCACTTATTCACCGGTAAGACCAAACTGATTTCTCACATCGTGACATTTGTCAGCTTTCATAAACTGTAATTTTATTCTATAATGCGTTTTATACACACCACTAGCACAAAAAGCAGCAGCGCACTCTGACTTAACCGAAAGATAGAGGATTATGCGTGTGAAGTTTATATATTTAGGTAATGCCAGGAATCGCCTTCGAATTGTGACACGTTTATATAAACGAAATTCTATAAATTTACCATTTGTCGTGATAGGTTTGACATGTCAGCGTAGTATTGACATGTCACATTGAACTCAACCGGTAGATGGCGCCAAAGGACATCTAGAACATTCAGTGAGGATCATTACCTTCTAATGTCAGCACAATACCGTTTATGACTAATTACATTTTGTGAACAGTTATAACAGACAACAGTAGTCATATTTTTTTTATCCTGCCTGCTGCTTATTACCTCTATTTTAGTTGACAATAAAGAATAAGCTGTCAAGCATTGTAAAAATGGAAGTTTTTTTGTAATATTGGCAAACCTGTATAATTTAAGATGTACTTATTAAATCCTGTAGTCTAAAGTAATCAGGGTTGTGAACAAAGCGAACACAATGAAACCCCAGTTTTTCAATGAATTGCGTAAAATGCTTTACAGAACTTTAACATAGTAGAATTATGAATGTAGCCTGCACCTATGGTCCAAGGGTTTCTCTCTGCTCGTTGATCAGAAGAAATCTGCTGCCCCCACGGGTTTCTTGTGAATTTATCTGAAACTGCGGGCCTGCCAGTGCGTTACCATCCAATATTCATCTTTCATAGGTGTTTTCCTATGTCTCATGCATTTCTTATTTACACACTCAGTATGTGACTTACTGTCTCTTGCATTCATTGTGAGCATGTAAGGATACTCCCTCATGATGCAATGACATTTTCAGTCTAGTTAGTTGCAATTAGTTGCATTTACATTGAATTTCTTTAAAAATAAACAACTATATTTTAGTAATTGGAAATCATATTTTTCTCAAATTTTTAGTGTCCATTTAAAAACTACTTTTTACTTTGGATTATGAGACTCAAAACTTCAGCAGTTTTGGGAATTTTTAAACCAATCAGACCTATAATTTGCCATTAACTTCTGATTTCTTAACACAGTCATGGCAAAGGAAATTCGACTCATACATTCAATAGCCTCTCTAAACCTCAGGGGACACTTTAAGAATGCTTAAATCCAGGGGATATCAGAACGTGTGTTTTATCTTAGTATTTGTGACTACCATCAAGTCCAAAGGAATTTTATTTTTGTATGTTATAAAGCTCTTCAGCCGTCTTGTTGTTTTGGGGTTTCTGGTATTGTGGTGCTTCATGAACTTGAAGCACGAAAGGATTCAGCTCGACATTGGGAACCAATGGTATTGCATCGTTAAGCAAGCCAATTGAATGCTGTCCCTCTGCAGTTTACATGATGTACAGCCCTTAAAGCAGTATTGAGGCATTTTGTAATTTCCAATGAGCAGGTGGGTATAGTTTTTATGCCATTAAGGCCAAATTAATAATGACAATGAAGCAGGACTCTTAATTCGCCCTGCTAGGTATGTGTTCTTATATAGTCAAGTAATTGGTTAGGTGGACCCTTTTGTAGGTCACTTACAATCTCAGCATACATTTTGTCGTTTGAGGCTTCTGTAAATTGGAACACTTCATTAGTGCAGTGCTGGATTTCTTAGTGAAGAAGTAAACCCAGTAGAGCCATTTTCTTGAAATGGGACTTTGTTTTTTTTCCTTTTTTGAGAAAATGAGGGAAAGGGCCCATTCTGCTCAATCTCTCTTGCCTATCAGCTTCTTAAAATCAAATTTTTTGAAGAACATAAGCAGTTTTTTTTGTTTGTTATCCAAGCCCACCCACTGTGGTTGTTGTAGGTCATATACGCTTTATGAAGGAATTTATAGTTGAGACCCATGTCTATTCAGCCATTGCCCCTGTAAACACAGTGAATAAAAACATTTTATTGCAAAGATTAGCAATATCTGTTTACATTTTTCAGACAAACACTATCTATGTATATATATAGATGTGCCATATTCATTAATGCTGATGAAATGTTTAGTGGACATTAATACATGGAGCCACTTTGGATTTAAGGAGTGATGTGGCTCTCACCAGCAAATGACCAGAAACAAAAATGATCAGCCATTTTTTTGTTTAATCCCAATAATCTGCTTCCCTTCCTTTCATTCATGAATTATGACTTGATATTGTGAATTGCTACTGCTAATGCACAAAACATAATTTTGCTCCTTAGTAAATTCATTAGAGGCCAGCAGTGTTACAAAGGGAAAGTAAGACTCGTTACTGGTCATTCATTTGAGGTATCAAACCCCTACCAAGCTGGTTCTATACAGAACATTTTACTCAACGTAAAGCCTGTTGATTTCTTGTTCTGGTGTTGAGAGGTGTTTGTTCCAATGGCTCTCCCACAAGAAATAATGCTGTGCCATCGCTGCACCATACTTCAGACATCCTACTGTTACATAGTAATCCATTGCCCTTAATGTACTTGCTTTCCAGTAAATGATGCCCCACACAGATGGTCCTGTGGTGACGTGTGATTTTCACTAGGTGTGTCATAGTGACGTGTCATGTCTTCCTTCCAGAAATGGCCATAGAAGGTGTGGATCCTAGGGAGGTGCTGAAGGGTGTGGAGGCTATGCTTGGTAAGGAGGGCGAACTTCGCAGTCTTGAAGGAGTCGCCACAATTGTCAGGTGAGATCCAACAGGTCTGTCTAGAATCATAGTTTGGTGAGCATTGCTATTGGATCAGTTTTATTAGAGACATTTTATTTTTATTGGGTGAAACATGGTGAATACATATGTATTATAAACTTATTCTACATGTACTGACTTTTTTCCTCTCATCTTCAGCCTAATGAAAGCTTCCCATAAGATGGTTAGCAGATGCATGTACCTAAACATTTTGCTTCAGACCAAATCCCACGACATACTCAACAGGTCAGTCAACCGGCTTATGTTTGAGTCCCATGCCAACAAGCCTGGCCTTTATGACAGCCGCCAATTATAATCGTGTTCTCTTCCACGTGCAGGTTTATCCGTGTTGGGGGATACAAGCTGCTTAATGGCTGGTTGACCTACGCCAAAACCACCAGTAACACGCCTCTACTGCAGCTCATCCTACTCACACTGCAGAAACTGCCCCTCACTGTCGACAACCTCAAGCAGGTACCACATTCAGCAGAGTGCTGTTCTGTACTGATGATGCTCCTCACAATTTGACAGCTTACATGATTCCATATTGTGTCTCCTCACCAGAACAACACGGCTAAGCTGGTCAAGCAGTTGAGTAAGAGTGGAGAGACTGAAGGTAAGCTTGCCTGGCAGGTTAAACTTGTTGGCAGTTTCTTGGGATGTGATACTAGTTGTGGAGTTTGGCGCAGAGTCACAGTGTCGCCGTTTCTCTGATTCAGAGCTCAGGAAGTTGGCGTCTGTGTTGGTGGATGGCTGGATGGCCATCATTCGCTCTCAGACTGTCGCTGCTTCCGGTGGCTCAGGTTCAGCAGGTATGTGCCGTGACTTTTACCCCGTCCATCTACTCCGTTTCTCCTTTATTTGGAATATCAATTGTGACTATTTTCTATGTCACTATTTCCTTTCTGCCTTCTCAGTAAAGTGTCAGTTGTTGTTATTAGTGGGTAAGAGCAGAACAGACGGTTTTGCACATTGCTGATGATGGCACCTCTCTTCACCGCAGACAAAAAGAAAAAGAAAGATGAGAGCAAAGTGCGTAGTCCTGAGGCGAAGGTGGTAGATGGAGGCAAGGCCCCTGAGGAGGAGAAGAAGCGGGAGAAGCCCAAAGCCCACGCCCCCAGCCATGCGAAGATTCGATCTACTGGTCAGTTTGCCGAGTGTCCCAGACGCATGTTCACTGGGCCAAGGAACCATCCCAGTATTTGCAGCTAGTCCTTCTTGCGGACATTGAAGCAGAAAACGCTGGGGCTCTTGTGTGTTCCCTGTTCAAACTCTGCACGTTCTCTGCAGGCTTAGAGGTGGAAACTCCCACTCCAGTCCTGATCAAGAAGGCCCCTGCCATGCCTCTGCTGGGAGACAAGTACAACATCAAGCCAGCTGTTCTCAAGAGGCCCAGGTAACTAGTCTCTTCGTTTATAACCATATTGAGATCTCTGGAAGCCCCCCCCCCCATCTAGGCCTGCTTTTAGATGTTGTCTGTCAGTATGTTTCCTGAGCTCTGCCGTCTCCTCCTAGTGCTATGCCATGTGACAACCCTCCAGTGGAGAAGAAGTACAAGCCTCTCAACATGACACCCAATTCCACCAAAGAAATCAAAGTCAAGATCATTCCTGCGCAGCGTAAGTACTATGACTTCATGGTTACGTGTTACTTTCCCTGATGAGGTCGTGTCAGGCGATATACGCTCTAGGTTTGATTTCCCTTAACCGTGTGGGGCTTCTCTTTTAGCGATGGAGTGTACAGGCTTCCTGGATGCTCTGAATTCAGCTCCGGTGCCTGGAATCAAAATCAAAAAGAAGAAGAAGGCTGCATCTCCGACATCAAACAAGGTACTGCTCTAGTTGTCCGTTATCTATATCTCTGGCTTTTTCGTGCAGGGTTAATGTGCTGTTAGACATCATTGGTCCTGTTCACTACTCATGTCCTGTTCTTCCTCCCCTAGTCTTGTCCTTTCGACAGCAAACCCGGTGCTTATCCTTCCCAAGCAAAACCGTCGTCTCCTGACGCTCTAGCTTCCCACACTCCCCCCCACGAAACCGTGGACCTGGAGCAGCCTGGAACGCCGGTTCCCCACGAGGAGACGGAGGCCATGGATACGGGTGAGACTCTCATTATTCATGCTGGCCTTTGAAAGTTTGGTGGGCATGTTAGTGTCTTTCAGTAAGGTCTTCGGAATGTTGAATTCCTTAAGTGTTGCATTTTAGATCTGCTTATAATCAACAGACAGTTAAAAAGTATCACAGTTACCAAGTTGTGTGTGTGTGAGTTTCAGAGACGTTCTGATATCCTGTGCTTGGCAGATGCCGCTTTAGCCTCGTCTTTGTATGTGTGTGCTGTAGGGGATAAACACAATTCCCTGTCAGAGCCTCGCAGTGAGGAGGAAAGTCAGCTGACCAAGAAGGGGAAGAAGAAGAAAAGCGTACGCTGGGCTGAGGAAGACCAGCTGAAGGAATACTTCTTTTTTGACCTGGATGAGACAGAAAGAGGTCAGTAGCGGAGAGAGCGGTTCGTCCTTGCATCGACCCCTTCTTGTGTCTTTCATGTGTGGACTGTGCATGTACCCTGACCTGAGCACCTCTCTCCTGCCCCCTAGTCAACGTCAACAAGATCAAGGACTTTGGAGAAGCCGCACGGCGGGAGCTGATGATGGACAGGCAGACGTTTGAGAAGGCCCGGCGACTCTCCCATGACACCATGGAGGAGAGGGTACCTTGGGTTCCCCCTCACCCCCTGATGCCATCTGGCTGCTTGGTCACCCCAGGAGCCAATAGTACTGAGAAGCACACCCAGAAGGAGCGAGAGATGGGCATCCTGCAGGAGATCTTCCTGAGCAAAGAGAGGTACTTGCAGTGTTCATTTCATGGCAGGGGCTCGGGAGCGATTGTTAAATATGCAGCTGCCAGGCTTGTGTGGCTGTTTGTCTGTCTATCTGTCAATAATGGAGCTTCTTGTCTTCTTCATAGCGTCCCTGACAGCCCGCATGAGCCAGACCCCGAGCCCTATGAACCCACACCTCCCCGCCTCATACCTCTGGATGAGGTAAGTGCTTCATCGGTCTGCATGTAGAAGCCTTCCCTGCTGTCAGCAGACTGTTGACTCATACTTGCCTCTTGGCAGGACTCTTCCTCCGTGGATGATGGCTATATGGAGCCAATGGACACCTCTGCCCAGCCCAGTTCTGCTGCTGCGCCCACCGAGGGCTCCAAGCTTCCCCCTGTCCTGGCTAACCTGATGGGCAGCCTGGGCAATAGCGGGCGCAGCCCCCAAACTCAAGCCACTCCCAGCAACACCAGCGCCCCCACTGTCAATGTACAGGAATTGCTCACCTCTATCATGGTAATTGGCTGGCGGACAGTATGCTGTCAGCACGGACTCTGTGGCAAGGTCATGCGGCGCGGTCTTTACAGAGTCACCTGTGCCCCTGGTCACCACTTCCTGTCTGATCATCCAGGGGGCGCAGAGCAGTCAGTCTCCGGAGGACCTGATCAAGCAGCCCGATTTCTCTGACAAGATCAAGCAGCTGCTCGGATCCCTGCAGCAGACCCAGAACCAGCCCCCTCCTGCCGGACCCCCCCCAGGTTGGCTTCCCTTAATGGACTCTCTCATTTCTGTTAGTTGGTTTGCGCTCCACCCTTGCATGACATTATCCGTGTCCCTGTTTTTGTCGGTGAGGCTCCGTAACAGCTGTATACATTGTATCTAACCTAAATCCTGCCTCCCCCCATTTCCCAGTGAGCACCGGCCTGCTCGGCCACAGCCCCAGCATGAACATGAACCACAACATGAATATGCAGATGCCTATGAATGGGGGCTACCCCCCCAACAAGCCACCCTCCGGGCCTCACTACAACCATCCCCCACCTCCCCATGGTCACGGCCCGCCCTTCGCCTCTGGCGGTGGTCCCAGGATGATGGGCCCACCCCCGCCTCCCCCCCGTGGTGGAGACGGAGGGTACTGGAACGAGGAACCTATGAGAGGCGGCCCCCATCGTGGTGGTGGCGGCCATTACCACCGCGGACGCGGCGGGCGAGGCGGCGACCAGGGTTACAGAGGTGGAGACCAGGGTTACAGAGGTCGTGGCGGACGGGGAGGTGGCGGACCCCCAAGAGGAGGTGGAGGGGGACACAACAACTCGCATATGGGAGGTAGGAAGTCTCTCTTAACAGTGGACCTGAAAGCCTCTCTTCCAGCCGTCGGCGAGCCTGCTGACGTGTTCTCCCTCTCTCTCCCTTCTGCAGACATGTCCAACCGGCCTGTTTGCAGGCATTTCATGATGAAGGGAAACTGCCGGTATGAGAACAACTGTGCCTTTTACCACCCCGGAGTGAACGGACCACCCCTACCCTGAGACCCCCCCCTTCCCCCCATCGCACTGAAAGACACTGAAAGACATTGAATCTACCACTAAGATGGATCTGCACGAAGATCGCAGCTGCTACCCAAGGAGACCCAACACTGCTGCTGCTGTTCGGTCTGTGTGCCTGACGGAACAGATTTAAGGAGACCTTAGTCACCTATTTAATAATGATTACTCTGGATGATGATAAAAAGATGAATGAAATAGGAGTCACGGAGGACTGGGTGAAGCGGTTCACTGAAATCCTCTTACATTTGGCTTAGCAATTATTTTTTTCACCTTGAACATTTAGCTGCAAAGTGCCGCTTTGGACTTGCTCATCCGGCCTCTTTCTGGTCACAGTGACTGCTCAGCCACTCCCCCTCTAGGGGCCTACTACTGGATTTCACCTACGTCTTTGAAGATGACGACGAAGCTGAACGTCCTTCATCCCCCCTCCCCATGATTCTTGGACATAGTGTTTTCTACCACGACCACTTGAAGAGTGTTATCGTTCTCACTCCTTTTGTCCTCTTGTCTGTGAGGCTTTTCTAATCATTGAACTTGGCTCTGGATTTCGGTGAATGGGGACATGCCTCAAAATCATGCCTAGCTTTGCTCTGCTGATTTTGGGAGTCACGCCGATGTGAAGGGGCCGCAGTGTCGCCCTGAGCCAGTCTGCCCATGTGGGACGGAGACATGTAGTTTCTCTTTACTGTTGTCTTCAAACCGACATAATTTTCAACCAACTGTGACAGACCGTAGACACACTGGATGTAGTATGCAGAAACCATGATGGCTCGATGTCTGTACCCCTATATGTCGTGCCCTGCACTTTGCACTGAGCTTTTGGCTCTCATTCCTGTTCTTTATCTTATCAAAAATTCAGGCTTGTCGGGGAGGTTAGTGCAATGAGATCCCAGCTATGTTCCTATTAGCAAACGGGCACATGTTTATATCCCTTCCTTCAGTCAAGTGTTTCACACACAGATGCGTGCTTTTGAGTTTCCTGAATTGTGTTGGACTGACCAGCCTTTCCTGCTGTAATTCCCTTAGTTTGAGCTTTAGTTCCCTAAAGGAAAAGGTATTTCCTGAATGTACCAGCGTCGGGCCCAGAGAGGAGCCCGGTGCCTCATATAAGACCAGAAATGTTGTGTAGACCCAATTATTTAAAATCAGATTTAACCACGGTCAGTGATGACCACCCAGTGATGACCACCCAGTATCCTAAACGGCCTCATTGTGTCTCAGGTTTTGTCACCATATTTGACCGCTTTTGATTTTAAGGTGTTGCCACCACTAGGGGAATCATTTACCGGATGTTTAAGGTCACTTGGATCTTTCCTGGAAGGTGACCAGTCGCTATGCCTTACTTGGGGTTGCTGGCAACCACATTTATCTTGCATTAGTTGCTGTGATGCAGAGACAATCGATTTTTCTGAAATCAGTGTCTGTTATACACAATATGTGATGGTGGCATCTCGCTTTGCTCAGTTCTCAGTTTTCATTGCAAAGCTGGTTAGATAAACAGCAACAGTACAGCTTTTTTCCCCTCATTCATCTTTCCTCATTTTGGCCAGCAAACTTGCATCCACAGTCTTGCCAGTTGGTGTAGACCAGACACGTTCTACATGGAGTATGCAGTAGATGATGCATTTTATTCTGAGACATTTGGATGGGAGACCTTAATCAATGCTGTGGAATAGAAGCTCCCCATTGTAGAAATGTGCTGATGTAGCTTGGCATGTTGATAGAAGTTGTGCAGTCAAAGCAAATGTACAGGTGGTATGGAGATTTCTGACTGAACTTCCCGGCCTTTGGTCACGTTTGTGAGAATATTTGAAGGTTCCCTTGAATGACTTAGGATGCCTCTAACTTCCTCCGCTTTGGTGTTTCTTGGTTCTATCATATAGCCAGACTGCAGTATTGAGGTAGAAGCTAAGCAGCTGGCCCTGTGTCCAAGTGGAATAGCTGAACGGTGGTGCATTTTTCCTGGGGCTGCTGTAATCGACTGTCGGATGCTGTAGTGTTTATAGTGTAAAGTGGATAGTGTTTAATAGCCCTCTAGTACATTTCTGCTCAAACCCACTCACTATGGCCAGGCTCAGAAGAATCCCTCTATCCTTAGTACATCATTGTATATATGCCATCTTTCACTCTTGTGTTTTTCATTTGAGTTTTTTCTTTATGTACTGTGACAGTGTTAAAGCGAGCCTAGGCGTCGATCAGGGGGAATGATACAAGTGTTTTCTGTGAAAACATTGGCCTTCCTGTCTCTTGTGGGACTATAATGTCATTTTGGGTTTGATTTTTATTTTTTATTTTGATAATGATGCTGACAGTGATACATTTTGATTTATTATCAGAAAATGCTCAGTTTGTATTGAAGAGATTGTGTGTTTGTATATATATATATAAAGGCTACACACATTCATATACATATCCATATTGTTGATATAAATATTTTGTACATGTATTAAATAAATGTGGCTCAACTGCTCATGTTGGAGATTGTTTTATAAAATTGCGCAAAAGACTGACTTACTTGTGCATTTTGCAAATAGCGCCCTCTGCTGCTTAAGTATGATTATACAGTAACATTCTTGTGATATTTTCTCCTTTAGAATTACTACTATGAGGTCTAATACTTAGTATTTGTGGCTTTCTTGGGCCTTTTGAATATTTATGGTAAAACCGCAGTGCATTAATTTTCCAAAAATATCCTAAGAATCCTAAGAAACATTCCAAAAGTTCTGACCCATATGCCTGTTGATTGTATAACAAGAATTATTGTGGAAATCTAAACAAGTGCATTTTCCAAAATATATGAATTTATCAAAATTCTAGCATGAAATTGTCTCCTTCCCAAAACTGGATTAATGTCCATCCATTCATCCAGCTTCCAACTACTTACCTATTTATTCCTTATCAGTCCTCTTTGTAGACAAGTCAAAAAAATACATGGGCACTTTACCTGGTTGCTGTGGATACTGGGGTGAGGTTCTTAAATCGCAAAGCTGACACACTTTGACAGACATCAAATCAACGGCATCATTCAAATCATTTCCTTTCACTGCCTAAGACTTTTGCGCAGTCCTGTACGTACGGCATCCCCTTAGAATCGAATGGCTAATGACAACCTATCAATTTTGAGCCTCTCATCTTCCATTAATTTATTCCAGCAGAACTTGGAATGACCAATGCGTTTGCAATGCGTTTTTTATTTTGCATATTCGTGACACAAAGCTTAAGCTAAGAGACGGGCTGACAGATTTCCTCATGGCCGTGTGGCGTCACCTCCCTCGCGGTTCTGGCTCCTTTTGTTCCTGGGGAGTCAGTTAGAGTCCGTCCAATCGGAGCCCCTGGGAAGCCTGCTGAGATCTGCCCTCCTTGGCTGGTCAGATCCGTGTGCCCAGGGAGGGGTACGCGACAGCCCCAGGCTTCAGCGTGTGAGGAGGAGTGGCCCCCTTCCTCGGCAAATATTGACCAGGATGTAAAACAGCAGCCTTCTATTGAAGTGAAAGGTGTAGGGTCAGTTTAAGCATTTCGCAGTGAGAGCTGCCTGCAGTTCAACCCGGTCATTGACGTCTACTCTGACCACACCCTGACCAAGATGGATCTGGAAAGTGGTTGCGGGAATGTGACCTCTGCTGTTAAAATAATTTGCGGCAGTTTGGGTAAACAACCAGTTTTTCTGGAATGACATCAGCATTGGGTAGCGACTGACGGGGGTGGAGAGCCGGAATACCTGTTCACTGTCCATACACTTTATTAGTCTGCTTTAGTACCTTATAGTAATATTTAAAAGTTGTTACTGTCAAAAAAGCAATATCAGAAACCCATCAGGAGAAAAACAAATGAATAAAAGAATAAAGCCCATTTCATGAAGCGTATCCAGGGGGATGATGTCACAGAGAATTCATTCATCCCTCCATTCCGATCTGAAGTCTGTAAACTCAAGTCTGAAGTATGTGGAGCCATTTGGATCAGGCCCTGGACAATGGTGGCCTTTATGCGTCCGTCATCCTATCCCCAATCTGTGGTCTCAGCTCTGGAGGAGCTGTTGTCCGGACTGGATCGTGACTTTGTCTACTTTAATTATCTTTTCGAGAGGGAGCTCTCTGATAGCTGTACAGAGCCGGGAACAAGGAGGGGAGCGTATCGAAGTCGACTGTACACTGCGTGCCAGTTCTTAACGCACGACCCTGGATTGTGGACACTGAAAAAATATCGTTCTGTGGTTTTATTAAAGCAAGTAACGTATCGCAAAATAAGCATTAAAGTGCTCAGCAATCTTAGAACACGAATACAGAGGGAAACACGGTGAATGTGAAGTGAATGCAGAGTCGTGAGACATAGCTGGGTCTCCTTTGACACTAGAGCGAGATTCTGCGGGGGATGAAGTCAACACAGACTCTCAGCAAATTAAAACACACCAGTTTGTAGGATTTGGTCCAAAACTTCGCATCTTTAGTTAGCAAGTTCATAAGTTTATAACTGTGGTTAACAGGTGGAACCCAGATAAGTTCCAGCCATATTAAAGATAAAAACCGACTATTAAAGATAATGTGATTCAGTGGTTTATGTGTGCATAATAAATTTAAAGAGGTCACATGACCTAGGAGCAGGTAGCATAATGGTCTTGAATACTGGTTCTGAAGGTCTCTGGTTTATGGCCTAGAAGGGCCACTACAGGTGTAGCTTTGAGTGAGGCATTCAGTCAAACACTCAACTTTATGAATAAAAAATGTAAGTCCCTGTTGAGAAAGGTATTTGTTAAAGGAAATAGTAAAAGGGCTTAAAATGATTCACGACTCTAATCTCTGTAGCGATCTCAAGCCCATTCAAAAAGCAGCATTCTTACGTGCCTGAGCGTAGCCAATAGGAAAGCGACCAATCAGCATAATGGGCAACCGATTTATGCAAAGCAAATGTAACATTTTTGAACGCCGGTGTTTATGGCATCGTAATGGTCTCTCATGCTGATAGGCTTCCACATTCCGGCACAGCCGGAGGCGGGGCTGGCTAGCAGGTGAGCAGGTGTATAAAGGTAGAGCGATAGTGTAGCACTGACAGAGCAGGACCTAAAGTCAGCACCAGTGTGTACACAAAGGCAGCAGTGTTAACAGGTAAGACAGACAAAAACCTATTTCATCTTACTCAGGATTACTGCATTGCAAACAACCGTCTTCTCTGATTCTTGATTTTTCCAGGAACTTCCAGCCTCACGTTCAGTCCTAAAATTTACATGTGTAGCATTTTCTATTTTTTGCATCACATAAACAGGACATTAGATGATTGCCTCATCTTGAAGGACCGTGGGCTTCACAGTGATGTGAATGGCTGTGTCTGTCTCTAAGGGAACTCGACAGCATGATGAAGGGCTTGTTGTCTGCTCTGGTGGTCTTGGTGGCTGTATCCTCCTCACTGGGGAAACCGGAAAAACAGACTACGCCGAAAGCGAAGAGGCTTCCCCAGACGCTCTCCAGAGGTGAGCCGCTGCTGATTCTGCTTCCATCTCTCCATAGGTGTCCCACCTACCACTCTCCATACCTCCACACACTCTAGCTTTGCAATCTATAAAAATCTCTCCTATCACTGATGCGTCCCCTTTACACCAAAACAAAGACAAGTAGAATGAGCCACATCAAGTGGATTGTTGATCCATATTGAGTTTTGATGGGACTTGCTGCATAAAGAGATTATATATCACTGTGGGTCCTGCACCAACGGACAGGGTCTGGTCATTCCAATATAACACATCTGACCAATTTTCACCTCCCTCTCTGCTTAGGGTGGGGTGATGAGCTCACCTGGGCTCAGACCTATGAGGAGGCTTTGTTCAGATCCAGATCAAAGTAAGTCATGAGGCTCTGTATGTCTGATTGCCTGTAAAACATATTTTTATTTTATATTTAATAGCATAAATTACATACATGTATACATTTAAAGGCATTTAAATAGTAAATACAATATTTCTCTGTTTCCTTAGTAACAAGCCTGTAATAGTGATCTTTCACCTGGAGGACTGTCCACACAGCTTGGGTAAGCCTGATATCCCACAATGCAATTTCATTTTTCCCTTTTTTGCTTGATATCTATCATTATGTCCAAGTTTTAATTTAATGACTAGGAAAACAGTGTATGTATATGTATGTGTGTATGTGTGTGTGTATCATAGATATTTACCCCAAATTACTTCTCTGTTTAGTAAAACTCTTTATCAAGATAAAAAGGAAAATTTGTTGACAGAAGCCAGTGGCATTAGATACATTGATATTGCTTCATTGTTCTACAGCAGTTTGTCCAACAAAGTCGTAAGTCCCTACGACTCTGTAAGTGGTTGGAAAATGGGTGGGTTCATTATTCTAAAGTGGCTCAGTGGCGATTGCAGAGGCTGAGTAAGAACATCCAGTCTGTCTGCTCCTAAGCATTCAGTAGGAAAACTGAAACTTAGGTGAAACCGAAATGTATTTCTGCTTGAATATTGGAGCATTATGCTGAGAAACTAGATTTTATGACGACGTCCCAGAGCAGTGTACGAATCTGAGATGGACATTATGATGAATGGTCAAATAACACCCTCACATTGTCTTTGTTGCATCCAGCTCTTAAGAAGGCATTTGCTGAAAACAATGAGATCCAGAAGATGGCGGATGAGGACTTCATCATCCTGAACTTAGTTGTATGTTTGCTTTTTGTCTATTTTGAGGAAAGACACCAAATGTATTGATCACTGAGCAATGAATGAGGGTCTATTTGAAGTGACAAAAGAATTAAACAATTTAGGAGTACAAAATTTTAAGAAAATGAAACTGATGAAAATTACATTTTTATGATGGTTTAGTCTGTTGTATATTTAAACACTGGCATTTAAGCCACTCTTTCTGCTAGATGATAAATCAGTGTAATATGCAAATAGCACTGTTCTATTTTATCAACAGTTTGAGACCACAGACAAGCACCTTTCCCCTGATGGACAGTACGTTCCTAGAATCCTTTTCGTTGGTAAGTTGACCTGAAATTTTGCATGCTCAGACTTTCCACAGTGAGAAGCAGTATCGGTCTGTCCTCCAAATGATGCTTCTGAGAGTTTGTTGCATTTCTTCATTACTTCCAGACCCCTCCATGACTGTAAGAGCTGACATCACGGGAAGATACTCTAACCGCTTATATGCGTACGAGCCCTCTGACATCAGCCTCCGTGAGTATGACCCAATGGACCAGTCAGTCAGTTACAAAATAAATATAGAATAATAAGAAAGGATTCACAGCTAATGAAGAGCATAATAACATTTCAATTCAATTCAGTTCAATTCTTTTATTGTCATATGTACAAATACGAGTACCATATACAATGAAATGCCTACTTGCATGTGCCCCTGCAGACAGTGAACATAGAGGACGACAAAAAAAACACACAATGATGAAGTGAATATAAATAAGTAAATAAATAAGACCAGAATCCCAGGAATAAATAGAGACAGAGGCAGAAGCACATGTGCAGTTAGCAGTGGGGGAGACACAGGCTACTGATTGTTCAGGACTCGCAGCTAATGAAGAGCGTACTAACATTTCATGTGTGCTGCACACTAATGAAATAAACCTTTAAAAACAGCAGAGGCCCATATTTGTCTTTTTCTCCATTTCTCAGTGGTAAGCAACATGAAGAAGGCTAAGAGGCTGCTGAAGACAGAGTTGTGAGAGCACCATGTGTGCCTGTGACCTTTGACCTTTGACCAAGTTCTCAGGCTCAAGGGTCATGAAAATGTTTACTGGTGAAAAAGCCAAGCACTGGGATACTTCGTCTTCAGTTTCAAGGGATCCTCTTCCATTGTTCAACTTTTTCATGCATTGTGTCTTATCATCCTGCTTGTGTATTTGTCTTTTTAATAAACGTGTCTCCTGACTTGGTTGTGTCTCCTGGCTTTAATGGCCTTCTGGATGTGACCTACATGGATCTCAATGACAGCTGACCATAAGTGGTTTGTTCAGATTGCAAACTTGCAATATTGGGTAATTTTTACCTTTTACTAAAATTTACCAAATGTGTAATATGTTAATAAAAAAGCAGGAATGCTGTCTGAATGAAAAATCAGCTAAACAGCCCATTCATAGAGCAGAAAGCATGATCTACGTGATTTCTATCATCTTAAAGTATTTTGATAATATTCACTAATCTGCAGATATAAGGTTAAATAGCTCTAAAGTGTAATAATAAAATATGCAGAAGTGTTTTTTGATAAGCTTTAAGAAATTTCAAGGACTCAGTGATCAAGTTTTGTAGTGAAGTCATTGAATGACACGATTCAGTTTGGTGGGTAACATTTCCTTGACAAACTGATTTTTAATACCTGTCATTCCGGCTCTCTGCCAAGCCCCGCTGGACCCTTACCTTACATTCTATCTCTGGGTCAACAATTCTGTGTATTTAATGATGGAACAGGCCGAGTAAGAAGACATGATACCCGGGGTGACTGGAGTGTGTATGGGAGGGGCCGGCGTGAAATGATATGACTTTTCCACCGGCGAGAGGTTGCCGGGTTACCAAAATGATGAGCTTGTGGAATATCCGGGGATAAACTCGTTCCCATGGAAACCACTTCGAATGCCTCTCTGTTGCATCCGGCAAGTGATATTTGGAACGGCTGGACATCATTATGTAAGTGCTTCTGCTGTGTCTGCTGGTCTTCATGGCTGAGTGCTGTAGGAATGCAACTGAACTGACCTGAGTGGGAGGGGCATGTTCCGACTTTGCGTAGCTATGGCAACGTGCACTTGCAGGTACAACAGTCGCAGCATACTATCACTGCCAGGAATTACATCTAGAACCCAATCTCTGCTTTTCCAGTCTTTTACAACGAGTGAAAACATAATGCATCGCCTATTGTTTGCAGAGGGGGGTTTTGGTGAAGAAAGAGATGCAAAAAATGCTGTTTGCCTTGACGGCACAAGGAAGTTCTCCATTGTTTTTTCAGCATTTAAACGGAGCCAGTTCAGTTTCCTAAAACTGACTGGCACACATAGATGATTCAAGGTTTGTACTATTTTAACTCCCTGTCAAAGTCTATCAAAAACAGACAACTTATTTTAATAACTAATTTTAATTATGTATTAGTTAACTTGAACCCTCATTAATTGTGAATTTAAAGCAAGATTCATTTTTATCGTCGGCTGACATATTTTCTTCACTGACAACAACCCACGTAAGTCCATTTAAAACATTTTAACCTTTGTGGAATGTGACCATGTAATGTGCAGTAAGCACTCAGAAAGACACCCTAACACTCCATTTACTGCATGCATGGATCATGTGACTTTTAGGCCTCAGTGCTCAACCCAGCTGTGTCCCCGATTTAAAGCGAAGATTCTGATGTAAAAGTTGCCTGCCGGAATTACTACACGTGGCAGCGGTGTCACGTAATGGCAACAGCACTGGGACAAAGCTCATTCCCGTCACGGTGTATCAAATCCTTTTTCTTTTTAATTGCAGTTTACAAAGTTTAAAGGTACGTAGTTCACAGAACCATCAGGATAAAAGGATTCATGCAAGAATGAGGCGAACACATGTCGCTCTTCGGAGACTGAGGCAGGGTTACCCGCACGCACGCATGCGCACACGCACACACATCATAACCCACTTGCAGAAATACTGAGCAGCAAACAATGGATTATCAGGTCAAGAGCAGCTACAAACAAAGCCAGACTAGCCACTACTTCCTAATTTCCCTAGATTCCTTCTTTTTTTTTTTTATTTGAGAACTGAGCTACGGTCTAAATCAACAAACTAAATTCATCAGCTAAAGCACTAACATGGAGTGACACTGGGTTTAAAAGGGAATGTCAATACATACTAATATGTGCATACACACAAAATGCAGAAGTGCGAGTAAAAATCCACTGAGCATGGGCAACAATTTCCACGGTATGCATATACACAGCAGAGCTTTCTTCATTTATTGCACTTCTTAAGATACACCCTACAAACATAGTGAAAAGTAACCAGTCAGGCATGCACGGTCCACACTATGCTACACTACCATAGCATTCCTGTTCAGCAGTGTTTAGCTGTTAGCCCCAGTATGGACTCTACAGGATGGATGTCTGATGATAACTGGCTTAGTTCTTTGCACTCATAGCCATGCATCCAAGCGTCCTATCCGGTTTTCTGCAGTGACGCGTCTCGTTATCGCAGAGGTTCCGGAGTGTCCTGTAGGGGGTGCTGGAGCACACGTCACAAGCCACTCAAACTGAAATGCGCTACTCGGTCACGAGACGGGCCAGCGGCACAAACGAGCGTGATGCCTCCCGAATGAAGCCCAGCAGACAGACTTCATTTACAAATAAAGAAAAAACATTCAGAAAAGTTCAAATAGTGCAGTGATTAAACCCCACGTAAACTCAAACACACGAAGTTACAGGAAAGCGCTTGGATTTGCACGGGGATCCTTCTGGTTCCGATACCTGTAGGTCAGCCACACTCCCAGAATCTAAAAGAAATACAAGAATAATGGTATTAATAAGTTATATTTATATAGTGCCTTTCTCACGCTTGAGGATGCTTTGCAATACAGACAGATACAATACAATAAAATAACAGCAACAGCATAACGACGACAACGAGAATGGAACATACTGGGAGACACTTAGCATTCCTGAAATAAATCAATTTTCAATTGGCACTAGAAGATGTCAACAGACGTTACCTGACACCTAAAAAGAAAGTGTGACGGTTCCCAGAAACTGTGACAAGCAGCGTATGTATAGAAGTCTAATTTACATCCAGTAATCATTTAAAGTAAATAATCAATTTAGATTTTCAGGCTGCTAGATACTCGTGTGCCTTCAAATCTGTTCCACCCATTTAAATCTGCAAAGACCATTTTCCGTAAGACCTGCAAACGTAAACCTTTTTTAAAAATTGAATCTATCACACTCTCTGGAAGTGTAACCGGCTGAAAGACGGATGCTCCATTCATTTAGCTCACTTCTAGAATAACCGTCGCCCACCAGCTATCATTTGAATTAGCATCAAATCATTTTCGTTTTTTTTTTTTTTTGCACGAGCTGATATATTATTGAGAAGCAGAGTTCCTGGAGCTATTGGGGGTTAAGAGTCATGCTCAAGGGCCCAATGGTGAAATCAGTACGGGTCCCCTGGGGCGTGAACCGGTGACCTTCTGTCTTAACCCTCAGATCTGTGCACCAGCCCACAAGATGGAACATGAACCCTCAATCCTGGAAGTGTGAGGAAACATTGCTAAACACACTGCAGCACCGAGATACCTAAAAACATAGCAGGGTGGGGGCAGGGTGTGGCTCAGTGGGCTAACCCTGTGTGCTTGTAATCACAAGGTTGCTGGTTCAAACCCCGCCTCAGCATGTCTGCAGCTCCTTGAGCAAGGCCCTTAACCCCCAGCTCCCTGGGTGCCGCTACGGGTGGCTGCCCTTCGCAGACAGCTTACTCTACAAAGAGCAAGGTGAGGGAGGCGTAAAGACGATTTTCCCACATGGATCAATAAAGTATCGATCATTGTTATTAAAAAGACTCCTCAATTTCATAAGGGATCCTCACCTTCGTAACAGTGTCAGGAGGCTCGGCTGACGATGCCGCATAGTCATTTGTTAATGTGTGACAAGCAAATGATATTAATAAAGGATAAGAGGGGGACCCTTCATGAGGGAGGAAGGCAGTGGAAGGGAATTCTATGCAGGTAGCACAGAAAGGACACCAAAATATTAATGAATTGTCCCATAGAAAATAACCTGAGGCAACTTATTAAACATTTAGGTGGGATAGATGAGATTGACTGATATTTTGCCAGTATTTTCTAAGGCATTTCATGAATGAATAATAGTCTATGATGTCACGCAAAGAGGGTTGTGCAGCGGGGTGGAGTGGGAGGGTCCGTCGAGGCTCGTTTGTGTGGAGAGCAGCCTGTTCCCAGTCAGGGTGACTGCTCTCCAGGCCGGAGGAACAACGCCAATAACTCAGGAGGCTAAATATAGACAAGAGCCCATTACCGTAAGAACTGCTGCTGTTTGGACAGCGTGCCTGTGGCTCGCCGGGGCACGGCTGCTGATTCGCTGCAGTGTCAGACCGCGTTAAAGGTCATCGGAATCTGGCCAATCACGTAACATCCAGGCTCGTTCTGGTACATCAGCTGCGCGCAAAGCTAATTCAGCACTTTGATACGATGATGTTTCTCAGCTGGCTCTCAATTAATATGATATCCGTAATACTAAAGCCAGCTTCCCTATTCTGCTCCTTAATGCCCCAGATTCGAAGTCCTGTTCTAGTTATTTTGCACCCTTATCACAATACACAAATTATCCATACAATGTTTTTATTTATTATTTCTTACATCCGTTTAGCAGGTGCTTTTATCCAAAGCAACGTACAGCTGAGAATGCAGGGTTTGACAGTTCTTGGAGCGACTGGGGGCTAAGGGTAGTGACGGTCAAATGAAGCTTGATGAACCGTTTGCTGTATTTTCTGACTGCACTAGATGGTGATCTCTGTTTAAAAAAGGGCTCAAAGCAAACCAAGAGCATCATCTAAAGGGGTTAAAAAAATTCAGCAAATGGTTCATGAAGCTTCATTTGGCCATCACTACCTAAGGGCCATGCTCAAGGGCCCAATGGCGAAATCACTCTGCAAACAGGATTTGAACCCGCGACCTTCCGATACCAAGCAGAGCATCCTATCCTGCAGAGCCCCGTGATGTCGACAGCCTGTGTGCGCAGGCCCAGTCTGCATGTCCCTGAGCTGCTCATACCTCGGTGAAGCTGAAGAAGAGCCCCACTCCTCCCACGAACTGCAGCACCTCACCAGCATGCTTCTGGATCTTGGCCTTACAGAAGTCGCACGTGTGGTTGGGGAAGCAGGCCTGCAGAATCAGCATCAGAACAGGGGGGGGCGTAGCAGTTTAGCTGACTGAAAAGGCCAGCCCTGACTGCTGCAGACAGTCAGCAGTTAGAACATTCCGGAAAGTCGCATAGGTGTTACTGAAATGCGGAAAGATCAAAGAGAAGCGTTCACCCCTGGCTGCAGAAATATTAGCCAGGCTGATAACATCCCAGGTACCCGGGAAGCTCTGATTCACGTGCTACACGGCAAGGTCTGCCGACTGCGGAGGATCGATTTCCGATTTCCGATGTGTGATGACGCGATACGACACGGCGGCTTACCGCGCCGCAGACGCCGCTGTAGTTGACGGCGGAGAATCCGCAGCAGTCCAGGCTCTTCTCCACGTCCCTCTGCGTGTTCACAGAGTTGTTCCAGCCAACCTCCAGCAGCTCTTCCTGCGTAGAAAAGACAAGGACACAAGGGCTGAATCCAACCCCCCCAAAAAGGAAACAACTCTCATATTAATGAGGGTCTCTGATGCTGAGCAGTAATTACCCAGGGGGGCAAATAGATTAAAAAATATATTATGAATGTAAGATGAAGACACATATACTAAGATTCCTGATATTCGTAGTCGTTTTTATTTTTTAGTATTTTCTGCTATTAATCTATAACTACAAAATGTAAACAACAAAAGAAAAGCTAAATGTGTGCAGAGTATCACAGGAAATTGATATTAAACAGCCTAATTAAATCAAAACTGTGGAGCTGAAGTTTCAATAATAAGCAATGAGCCAGAGGTCCAGGTGAAGGTTTCATACCTCAGCCAGCCCAAAACCGCGAGAATGTAAAACAAAAGAGGCTTTATTCACTGGAGGAGAGTCTGTGTGATCTGGCCGGGTTGGGGTCACCTTTCCCTCTCGTCTTTAAGTGGCCCAGCGAGGAGAAGAATACAGCAGAATCATGACGTTGGGCTGAGAAAACGCTGACGGGCTTAATCCGCACTTACCTGCTGGGTCTCAGTGATGGCCAGAGAGGCGCAGGACACGGAGAACTGGACCACGAACACAATGAAGAGGACGATCATGTACTGTGGGCGGAGTCAAAGCCTTTCACTGCACATCTAAGACTCGTGTCAATGGGAGGGATGATCACATGCCACTTAGCACCGGGACCCACCAGCCAGAGCCAGACCCAAACCCACGTCAGTCCTCAGAAAGCCCAAATACATGCTGCTGCCTGTGTATCTCTCGCCAGACAAATCCCAGCAGCAAAATAAAACCAACTCATGCACAAAAATATCAATGCACTTTAACGTTAATTAGGAATATGAACAGTATTACAACAGCATCTGACTAATAATTGAAGTGGGTGACAATGGCACAGAAAAAGTCCCTTTAACAAACTGAGCCAGCCAGAAATAAACCTTTCACTTTTTCAAGAAAGAGACTTAAAAGGGCTTTTACGCAGGTAAAACTGCTTTAACTTTCACATCCCATGCTTCCGAACTGGGACTGACTCTTCAAATGCATGCTTACCTTGAAATTCTATCTCAGTAGATTTTTTTCAGAATAAATAAGGAATGAAAATTTAATTAAGAATAGTATGAATAGCCTATATTTCTGAGCCAAACAAGGTGTCTTTCCGCACCGGATTGTTTTAATTTTTTCCAACTAATTTTTTATTTTTTATTATAGTGCTGAAGTATGAATTTTCTCCAGCGAAAAGACCAACAGGATGGAAGAAGAAAGATGTGAAACTTCCAACCAGAAAAGGATACAAAGAAGAGCAACACCTGATGGTGCCTCAGCGCCCCGATGAGCCCCACCAGCGCCACAAAGAAGAGGAAGACCCCCACGCCAATGACCCCTCCCACCACCCGGAAGCTGGAGACCAGGCCGAACCATTTGCCCCAGGCGGCAATGCCAATCATCAGCAGGCTCACCATCTGTGGAGGGGGGAGGGGGAGAGGAGTCAATCCTTATTGGCTAGTCCCTTTCACATCACGGTGGATTCAGAAGACTTAGCAAACCGGATAAAACAATTACGCTAGACAAAGACTATTCTAACCGAAAACAGCATTTCTGGTGTTAATCCATCCATACCACTACAAAATAGGTCACAATGAGGTGAAGCCAATCACAGGACACCAATTCATCACATGACACACACTATGGGCAACTTACAGACCAAATCACTGACCTATATCTTCCTGAGCTGTGGGAAGAAATATAAGCAAACAGAGGGAGGGTATGGCAAATTAACACACCCTCAGACAGCCTCACACAACCCCCAGAGTTGTGAGGCAACAGTGTTAAACATCAGGCCATCACGCATACTTTGTGAGGCTTGTTAAATTAGTGTTATAAATACAGTCACGTTAAGCGACATATTTTTAGCTCTGTGCACATGACACATATCAGTCACAGTGCCGATATGGGCCACTGGTATCTGTTTTTGAATGGAAGCATAACAGTACTTGTGCAGTCCTGTGGTAGCATAGCATAGTCGGCATAAATTCATGTGCTTGTCTTTTTGCACAAAAAATCTTTAAAATATTCAAAGAATCCATCTCCATCCATCTCGAATACTCTGTAACAGTCACCAGTTCACCAGGCAAAAATAAAACAGAAATATACCTCTTGTTTTGTGCATAGTCTACAATACAGAATTATGCAGTGTTGTGGGGGAATTCATAGATAAAACAGCAGGTGTTAATGAGCTGGACTACATGTTTTTGCAATATATTTCTTTTTATTAGCAAACGTTTCTCTTTCTGGCAGAGAAATCCCTCTATCATTAATGCTTCATTTTGAATTTTACTTGACACAACCCCACCGCCCTCTATTCAGCAGAGAGAAATACTCTGCGTTTCTCAAAGGAAAATGTGACCCAAATACAAAACACAGAGTCCGTCACCTTTTAACCCCAACTGTTTACGGTAATTAGGTGAGTCATGAACTATGACTATTCTGTAAGTCTAGCCGGATTTTACCAACACACCACCATGGCTTCTAGGAGGCTCCTGACGGTGTTCTGGGCTTTGGTCCTGCTATTTTTTGTCCCCTGCAAGTGTAGCATTGGGTACAATGGGGGTAAACTCTGCAAAGACCGTTTTGACCAACCCAGTGCACAGAAAACAGTCTGCGCTGTTATTTAGATTAGCTTGGTGCCCCTGAGAATGAATGCACTGCTGTGTGAACGCTGAACAAACATTATCAGATCAGATACCTAATTTATGTGACAAAGGAGCTCGATGTAATGTATCCCAGTAATCACCAGTGATTCTACCTTTTATTGAAAGCAAGGTACAAGATATCTCAAAATCCTCGTTTTATTGAAGGCATGGGCCAAAGGTTAGTTGTATTACAAAGAGTCCGATGGATCGTAACTATCTATCCACAATTTTAACCACAAAATGCTGCGGTAGAGAAAGGCGTCTTACCAAACAAATACACACCACATTATCGTTTGTTTATTACATAAACGCCAAATGTAATTATATTACAGATTAAAAACCGCTGGAACAAAAAATAAGACTTTATATGAGGTGCGGGGATTTCTAATGTCAAATTATAGTATTAACGACAGGAACAGAAACAAGACGCACGTATCATGAATGGAAACTTCAGGAAACAACACATAGACGACCACTACGTTAAGCTGTCTTGACCCATTTTTTATTCCTTCATTAGATCAGGATCTTTGCGTTGCAAATCTAATTTCGATGAACGCAGAGGGCTTAAATGACGAAAGACACAAGCTAGTGACTGTATAAATAAACACACCTCCTGAAAATGTTAGATGGCAACACGGTCTCCTTTCCAAAAGCATCCTCAAATGATACTACCTGATACCCGTTATATGGTTTCCATATGGCAGTATATATAACAACAGATGTACTTACAACATAGAGGATGTTTAAGGCGCAGAGGCAATTCTTGGAACAGGAAAATCCAATGCACGCCATAACAGCTGCTCTTTAAATTTCTTTTACAAAACAGAAAATTATATATATATATATATTTATATATCCTATAGATGGAAACGTCTTTTAAAAAATGATGTGTGAGGCTTATCGCGCACTACCGCTGCTGGTGAGAAACACGCCCAACGCAGGGATGCAAGCAGGACTTTACTGCTCCAAAAGAGGAGGAGCCAAAGGATAATTTCGCTACTCTGATTGGTTGTCTGACTGTGCTCGTCATTAATATGCAAATCAATGCGGGGATGTAGCGCGTGGACACGCCCCGTCTTCCTCAGTGACGTTTTGTTTCAGGTAAACAGGTGCTACGCGAAGTTCAAAATCAATCTTTTTCATGGCGTCAACTTTTCTTGGGACATTTTAATGGACGTTAAGCAGTAAAGCAGCTGATAATACAAATCATACATTTCCGGAAGTGAATAAGATTACTGGCGAAATTACGTTGGGACAGAACAATACAATTTTAATACAAAAAAGGAATAAAGAATGGCATTTAATAATCTGATGAAACAAATATACGCGTGGCCTTCTTTAGGTCATTGTTTTTTGTAATGGCATGTCCTACACTCAGATGTCACCAATGGTTCATTTATCATTCATTGCCCTAGATACGAAATCCTATCCAGTTCCACAGTCGGAATCTCCGCCTCAAACCTCTGCCGAACAAACACAAAGCAGCGCATACAATGGAGGCAATCATGACAAGGAGCGTCTCTATTCCCTATTAGCCAATGGAAGAGGCGCTTGTTGTTGCTACACAGGATGATGGAGAAGCACACCAGTCACAAAAAACACAAAAACTGGTGGGAAAGGTGAGAGGTTAATTGAGCTAATTCTCGAGAAAAACCCTGCGTTGTATGTTGAGCTAACGAGTCCAAAAATGTAGTCTTTATGTTTGGGATTCATTGATATTGTCAGTGTCGGTTTAATGTCTTTTGTATTCGGAGTAAAAATTGACGATCTTGCGTCTCCACTTACAAATTTCCCGCAGTGCGACCTTTTCTCCAGTAGAGGTCAGTGCAGCCTATCAGACTGTTTCGATGGTTTTTAACTTGCTATGTCGTTCAGAACCGGCTTGTAAGTTAATTTCTTTAATTAACAATAATATTGACTTATTTTATGAATTAATAATATCGACTTTCCCTCACAGTACTCGTTTACAGAGCTTTTAGGAAAACAAGGAATCTTATTTAGTTTGAATATATTACTGCGGAACATCCTCAGTTCCTTAAAACACCTAATGGGTTATAAATATATCTGGCATCGTGATTTAAACACGTATTTAAAGTGCTTTTTATTTTTTATTTTAAAAAGTACCGCAGTGTAAGTATAGCTCAAATAGATTCTTTTAAAAAGCTTGTTCTATTTATTTATTCTACCGTACTTATTAATGTTGAGTTTCACACAGACACTGAAAAAAACATCCTACATTTTTAATAAATAAAAAACATTTATTCATAAAAACAAACACACAAAAAAGGAACTTTTACATGTACAAGTCATTAATGTGTAATAAATGTGTAAATAACCTGCAACAGACAGTAAGGCCCTTCTGCTGTACCTGAATAGCTGGTTAAAGGAAATCACCATTACAGCCCTGTGTGTTTTTAAAAAGATTGCCTACGCAAACTTCTAAGTGCCATTATTCAGCATCCCTAAACTCAAACACAAACGCCCCAAAGGTGAGTGTCATGCTCATCGGTGGGAACAGAGAGAATGACAATCCGCAGCTCCTGCCCAAAACCCTATTACCAAGACTAGCAAAGCACAGGCTGGCTGGTGTACAGCACCTTCTTCTGGGCTCTGGTGCTAGTCATCCTCTCCCTCTGATTCAGATTCTGTGGGAGAGAAGAAGCGCATCCTTTGGTGAGGAGTGGAAACGCAATACAGCAGAGTGACTCATTTTCAAATAGCAATAACACAACCACATCCATCCATCCATCCATCCATCCATTTTCTGTACCCGCTTATCCTCTTCCGGGTCGCGGGGGGTCTAGAAGCTGTGGGTGCAAGGCAGGGAACCACCGAGGATGGAGCGCCAACCCGTCGCAGGGCACACTCTCAGATACCAAACACTCATGCATGCATACCTACAGGCAGTCTTTTAACTGTAATTCACCTTAGTGTGTTTTTAAACTGCGGGGTGAAACTGAAGCACCCAGAGGAAACATCACGACAACATAGGGAGAACATGCAAACTCCACACAAGCAGGGCAAACCCTGCTGACCATTGCCCCTCCCCCTTAATACAATCAAGTGTTTATTAAAAAATAGATTGATAAATAGTGCCCTTCCACCCATTTTCCATAGCATTCTTTATTTGATTAAATTTCTCTACAGACTAAAGCCAAATGATTTCCTTTTCTGTGGAATATGGAACATATTCATGCCATTTATGTATAATAAGTTCATCCACGGAACACTTCTGAGCTTTCAGATGTTGTCCGGTTTTCAGGAGAATACACAAACCCACCACAGGTATTAATAACCATGGAAACGTTACCCTCTTCTGCATTCTGCAGCCATTCCACAAACTTCTTCATCTGCTCCAGGAAGACGCTTTTTCCTTTGGCCGCTGGGGCATCCTTATACCACTTCAGGATGGCTCCTTCACTCAGAACATCAGCTAGGAAGATACAAGAAGGAGCTGCGAGGTCGTATGCAATGTTTGCTTAGACCAGTATTTCTCCATCCAGCCCTCAGGGACCCGCAGACTGTGGGTCCCCAAGGACTGGGTTGGGAATTACTGGCTTAGGAATCATGCTCCGTAAAGAGTATGCAGGGGTCATGTGACTGTCGATTAATTGTGCACAATATGGAGGGAATCTAAAAAGGCAGCAGTTCACAGAATGGATTTCTCACCTTTGTAGAAGAGCACCACAATTTTGGAGAAGGACTTCATGAAGTGGATGTTTTCGTAGCAGTACTCCTGAACTTTCTGCAGTAGCACCAGCTCAGACTGACCCTGGGTGCTGAACACAGCCAGCAGGGGGGCGTAGTGCTGGAAAGACACACAACTCTGGGTGTCGGCGACCTTGCCTGGGGCACATAGCTATAGTCAGCGGCTGCCCTGATGTCCGCCCCACAACAGAGGCCCCTGTCTTTTTGCCTGACCACTGCTAAAAGGGAGAGTCGTAGTAATGGCCAAATGAAGCCTCACAAACAACTTGCTGTGTTTTTTGACCCCACCAGATGGTGCTCTTGGCTTACTTTGGGGAATGCCCTTTTTTAATAGACAGCACCATTTAGTGGGTTCAGAAAATACAGCAAGTGGTTCATAAGGCTTCCTTAGGCCATCACTAGAGAGTGGGAATTCCACCCAATAGGCATGCAGCTACTGTGACGTCCCTGATCCCATTGGTTTAAGGACACTGGAGCCTACCTTCAGGTGCTTGAGGGCCTGCTCTGTAACCAGCTCCTCCTTCTTGTTCCACTCCACTGCGTTCATCAAGCATGTCCATAGCAGCCCAATGACGGCCTGCTCCTGGAGCTCATTCCTCTTCATCTCCTCCTTCAGGTACAGCACTATCTGCAGGGAGACAGAACGGCTGGCCTTTCAGATCCATGGGCAACTCCTGGTCCCATGCTCGAGTAATTTTTGGAACATCATTAACAATGCGGTAATGAACATTTACAAAAATATTACTTAAATTATTTGGTCCAAACCAATAAAACTTTACCAACAATAGCCTGAATTATATCCACGTTTTTTAAAACAAAAATGTGATATTTTTAGGCGAAGTGAAAGATATTGGTTATTCACTGAATGTGATGATTTTAAATCTGTATTTTTAGACTGTGCATTTAATGTTACATCATGGGCAGCAGTAGCCGAATCTCAACATGCCTCGTATGGCAAAAATAGTGTTTCGGGAGATAAGCAAGCTTCAACAATTTAGAAAAAAAATGAAGAGGCAAAGAGTGTTTGAAAAGCAAGCAGGTGCACATGACTTTGTGCCCCCGCTGCCCATGGGTCCCTCTAGTTCAGCTGCATTCCATGGTCCATGATGTAAGTTAAGTGAGGAGTGCGAGGGTAACATCTGGAAATAGGTCTCCGAATTCGGTCCACTGATCACTTCACATCCTTTAACAATGACGATGAGCATAAAGGCCTCCTGTCCCTCCCTCCCCTGGATTCTGCAGAAAGGCGAAGCATGTGGCACAGGTGACGATCACAGAGCGGCAGAAGGTGACAGCCAGTGTGCAGTGGTATGCTTGGACAGGACATTTGTTTAAAACATACCTTTAAAAACAGCCTTTCTGTGCACCTAAGGTGTATGTATCAGATCAGATACGTCAAATGCACCCAAGTGTAAAGGTCTAGGTCTACTATATATATATATATACACACACACACACACACACACACACACATACAGATCTTTAATTGCTGAGCTGTACAAAGGTATCTCTGTCAGATTGCTGACGGTTGCAGCACCACAGGGCCTAGAGTCTACAGGCAGCCACGGAACCTAGGATGTGGATTCATCAGGGGGTCCTTGGTTCAAGTCCCAGAAGAACACCCTCTGTTACATCCTGCTCCAATAACACACCCAGCTGAATACACGGCTGTTATTTGAAGAATAAAGAGTGAGCGGTATGCAGAAGCGGCAGCGTCGGTCTACCTCGCGGATGGGGCAGTCCTGAGACAGACGCTCTTGCAGCTCTTTCTGCAGCTCCTTACGGGTCCCCAGGGACTGCTGGACACGCAGGAAGTCCGAAAGCTCCTTCAGACCTGCCTCAGTGAAGTACTTAGAGAAGTGCTCCACATTCTGCTTGTTGGCAGGGAAAAGCTCCTGCAAAAATTCACAAACACAGGACCACAGATAGTAAATGCAATGATGAGGTTGAGAAGGTTTAAACCTCTGTATCAATTTGCAGCAGCATGCATGGTGTTAATACTTCCGGTTCACCTTCTGTAATCACTCACCCTATTTGGGGATGTGGGAGATTCAAAGCCTCTCTTAGAACAACCCAGGATGGGGTGCCAACCCATCACAGCACACACTCGCACACCATTCACACCTATGGGCCAGTTAGCAACCTCAGTATGCTTTTGGACTGTTGGGGGACACTACAGCACCCAGCAGAAACCTCACGATGACACAGGGAGAACGTATAAACTCCACACAGACTCTCAGCAGGGATTTAAACCCTGGTCCCAGATATGTGAGGCAACAGTGCTAACCACTGCACTACCAGTACCTCCAAGCATTCATCCCTACCTCCAAGCATTCATCCCTACCTTCAAGCATTCATCCACATACAGATATAGAGTGATGCTATAGGATATTGTCCACTAGGGGGCAATAGAGATCAATATTTTCATCTATTATGTAAAATACTGCAAGGAGTTGGGAAGTTCAGCAACTTGACATGCCAGAACAGTTAACAGAATATGTTATTATGAGTAATAATACAATGATTCATCACATTTTATTTGAATCCATACATTGAAGTCGCAATATTATATTACATTTTAGGACCTACCAGTCAGTTTCTACAGATTAATTATCATCTTGAAAAAAGGTATTCATTATAAAATGTTAATTAATTAAAATCCTTTAAAAAATATAATATATGGCAATGGTAAAGGATGTCATTGTTCTAAATTTCAAACACAACACCTGTGTCGTCATTATTAAAATGTAGATTTGGGTTTCCGTGAAATGTTTGAAATAAACAAGTTTCCCGCAAAGAATAAAGCTCTGACTGTGCCTAACTTCCTGCTGTCTCTGACAGAGTAATCCCTGGGGGGCGCAGCGGTACAAACAGGGCTCCACGTTTGTGCCGGGGCCCAATTAACAGTCTCTCGCGATTTACACAATACTAGTGAACGTGCCAGCTCTTCTGTGAGCAAGCAGCTGGGTGCTATGTCACAGATCAACAATTATAACCCTGAACGTGCAAACACAAAACACAATCAAGTGTACAGTCTACACCTATAGTAAACAATGGTAATTAGTGGGTGGGTTTATTGTGGTTACAGTTTTAGATTTGGGGTGGAAAGAAGGTGCTGTGAATCATAACATTTCTAAGGTAAACAGTCTTGGTAGGTTAAGGTTTCCTTAAAGGAAAAGTGCAAAAACTCAGCAAAAGGCTCTTGCTTTCCCTGGAGACAGTGCCACGGTTAACCTGCCCCTTTAATTTGCCGTTTGCTGTTGAGCACAATATAGCCTAAAGCCTGTCAATAATAAACAGAATGTTATCCACAGATAAATTTCATGATTTCCAGTTTGTGGGTCCAGCCTTCCATGTGCCGCCCCTCTGGAAGCGCAGTGAAAGGGCCCCCATGGTCAGTGAAGGTGAGCATCCCGTAAGCGCTGAGTGTTCTCTGTAGAGATGCACTCGGGAAGTTCTGCCCCTAAGGCCCCCTGTAACATCTTGTTCTGAACAGCTCTGGTCTGGCATAAGCCAATCCTCACCCCCTGGGATAACTTAATAACAACACAACACAACTGAAGAGGTCTCAAGAATACAGGTGAGGTAAGGGCTGGGGAACTACCAGAAGCTTCTTGTCCAGGTTGGATTTTCTCAGTGCAGAAGTGACAGCATTGGCATCTTTTTCAGCCATCCAGGCTTTGAACATCTTTACTGCAAAGGATGCCGAGATCCCTGCAGTGGTACAGCAATCACGTTGCCATAGAAACATTAGAATGCAACCTCATCATAAAACTACAATGTAATCCCACTGTATTAAAAGATAATGAGACTTACACAGTGTGATATTAAGATAATACACCCCATTACATGTCATTATCCAGTTACTGGAAGAGATAATGATGATCTCAATAGTGTATAACAGGAATCAAAGTGGCAGATTGTGATTAAACACAGTGTTCGAACAGCTGTTAGTCATACATTTACACTGTAAAAAAGGGAGGAAAAATGCAAATGTGGTACTCATCTGTCAAAAAACCAGCAGAAAACAGTGCTTTGCATTTCTGGAAAATGCACCTTGTACTTGAAACTGTATTTACCTCGCTACAGGAAGAGTCAGCTCACACTCTGAATATAGTTTCCGGCACAATTTGTGCATAATAGATTTGTGACATTATGCTGAGATGCTTAAACACACAAAGGATTATAAATGGATCAGGGAGCCAGACGCACTTTTGCACGAGCCAATCTTTGCCTATGCATATATTGTTTCTGTTTCAGCACATTCATCCACATTTCTTATTTTGTTTCTATGCTTTCAAAAATAGTTTGTATGTTTATATTTTTGCCATTGTCATCATGTCTCTTAACACAAGGCTTCTCCGGCTACCAGTGTTGAAGTACATCTCTCCCTCTGTCTATATAGAGCAGCATAATCGGCCATCTTGGTTCTGACCTTCCTTAACCAGATTGTCGCTGAAGAGGCTGGTGAGGATGGGAGGGGGAAGCGTGCCATTGGCCAGGAGGATGCCTGTCAGAATGGCCAGCTTGGTCTGCTCCGGCTCGCTGAAGGCCTTCAGGAAGAGCAGGAGCTGCAGCCACACGGGGGAACAGGAAGTGACATGTTAAGTCCCGAGTCACACGAAAAGCACCAAAAGGGCTGACAGTGGGTTTAACGTGACCCTTGGCTCCACCTCACTGACACATCAACACCAGCAGATCAAAGGCTGCGAGTTATTTATACAAAACTACAAACTTCATTCTAAATGTATACACCTATTAAAAGCTAATGACTGGCATTACTAATCTATGCTATGCAAAACTGTTGCTCTAAACCAAATAAACAAAATAATTCAGATAAGAACTTACTGATTTGACTGTCCTTACGTACTGTTTTTAAGCAACCCAAGCTCATTTTCACTGCTACACAGATCCAGATAAACACCCCATTTTATTTCCATGCGAAAGCAGTTAAACCCATATGGTTCTTGGAACAACCTGGACCCGAATGCTCTCATCAACTCTGATTCATGCGTCCTCTGAATAAAACTCCAAATGAAAAGCCCTTGATTGAAGCCTCAAACCTGCATAAAGTTTCCGCTCACCAAGGCTGGCAGAATGAAATAGCAGCCTGATAGGAGCCGTGTCAGCAGACCTGCAAAAACATGCCGTGACAATCTGATGGTCTGATATGCATTTACCTTCTTGATTTCCTCCTCAAAGGCCTTCTCTAGATATTTGTATCTCCTGATCAGCTTATTGAATACCTGTAAATGAACGACGCAGCATTAGAAGGGGGTGTGAGAAAGCAGACAAAAGCTAAGATGTGTGCTGCAAGGTGTCCAAAGGTGGCAAAACACTCAACCTAACGATCCACAACTTAAGCAAAACACACCTTCACTGCTCTGGAGCAAAATGCAGTTCAACTAAAAACTTTCAAAAATTTCCAGGGCGGGGATATATATTTTTTTGCATTTCCCAGCAGTACTCACAAAGGGCCTCCTCTACGTCACCCAATTCTTTGTTACACGCTCACGGCTGGATTATTAATAGTGATGGCCAAATGAAGCTTCATGAACCATTTGCTGTATTTTTTGACCCCACTAGATGGTGCTCTTGGTTTGCTTTGGGGCATGCTTTGAGCCCTTTTTTGAACAGAGAGCACCATCTAGTGGGGTCAGAAAATAATGCAAATGGTTCATGAAGCATCATTTGGCCGTCACTAGTTATTAGACCCCAGCTGGCTCCAAACATCAATCGCTGGTGTCCTATGTGTCTTTAACGGGAGTGGATCTATAATCTACAATGACCTCCTGGTGCTCGATAATCCAGATCTCACTGCTTGTTTACATGTAGCAGCACTTTTGAATGTGGGGGCTGGTTTAAGGAGGGGGATGCAAAGATGTGAGGAGCAGAAGGCAATCTTATGCAGGGTGATATACAAGGCGAATGGGGGCGTGTGGTGGGGGCAACAGCTAATAAAATGCTCTAGGACCAAATTTCACCCCAAGAGCTGGTAGGGCTGCCAAGCCTTTGCTATACCCTCAGCCTGCATGTTCTTCGCATGTTTCTTGGTATTCTGATCCAGAAAGAGCAGAAACAGTGACTGATCTGAGTACAGTCCGGTCTTTCGTGAGGCTCTGCGTCCTCACATGACCTAGCTCAGGACGTCTCCATAGCATATGCTTCTGATTACAGCAAATACAGTGCCTATTGAAAATAGATGTGTGGCTTTCTTCTGCTATTTGTGAGTGTAGAGTTGAACAAGAGATGAAAGGCAGCCAACAGGTGGCGTAGTGATGAAGGAAATAGATTTGGTGGGGGGAGGTGTCGCAGCAGAGGTCACCGAGGGGTCACCTGAGCATAGGTACGAACAGCAGCGTGGTCCTCGTCTGCATTGAACACGCAATGCTCTGTCACCTTGCTCTTGTCAGTGTCGTCAATGCGAGTGCCGCCGGGAGCTGGGGGGGTCGGGGGAGGGAGAGAGTGGTATAAAAGCACAGGGATTAGCATGCTGGATCCTGGCCCACAATCACTACAAGTGCACACAAAAATAAAATGTATATATATACCTGAGCCTCGCAGAAAGTGAGCATTTCCATGGCAACAATGTGGGAAAATGCATCATAAAGGACTGCAGGGATGTAATAATTCGTTTTTAATTCTTAATTTGGAATTTCCAGTCCCACGGACTGCTAGTAACTCAACCCGCGCACACGGTGAGTAGTGTAGAAGGCAGTGTGTGTCTGTATGCTTGTACTTGTGTGTGAACCAGAAAATACCACGGGTAGTGAAGCAGTCCTCCTCCAAAGTGACGACACCTTCTACTGTAATAACTGAAACAAGAACTGGCTCACAAAACACTGTTGACTCACTAAAGAAGCCAGGAGTCTGAACACATGCAACACAGGTGCATTGTGCTGAATCACAAATGGTACATTTAATGTATCCCCCAGAGGGAAGGGCCTGGATGCACACTGACAGGCTCTGTGAATAATCATCTGTCAAAAGACAGATGTCAGCTGATATCCACTGGTCAGTGAAAACACTATTAAGTAACGCTGCTTTGGTGTCGTCTGAGGGGGGAAAAACAATAAACTAGTCTAATCTCCTACTGTCACATTTCAATTACAGCGTGATGCATTTACCAATACTACAAGATAATGGTTTTTAAGGACTTGTAGAAGGTTTCATGGATCTCGAAAAAGGCAAAAACTAGCTCGATCCTACTCAGAAAGGCCTCTGCTCTTGTACCATTGATTTGAATATGTCACCTGACTTGACCCATTACGACATTCACCACTAGAAGAGCTGAAGGTTAAGCTTCATGGATAAAATCATTGGCTTAGTCTTGAGTGAAGCCTAAGTCTGCAGGACACACTCTAACCTAAGGGGTAACTTGTTTCTGAAGGGACGATAAAACTTATATGGTAAGCAGGTGACCTGCTCTGGGGACGAATGATGAGACAGTTTGTTCACAGGTAACAGAAGTATGTTCGATATTCTGTTCAAGCCATTCAGGTTAAGCACTTCAAGGGTAAAACAGCAAGCTCTTTACAGGAATCTAAGACGGCAACCTTTGCATCATACAGTTCGGTTTCATGACATATGCAATGTGCCTGGGGGCCAGAGATCAAATCCATCATCTCCGCATTCCACAGTAATCCGGTTGTTGATTCCCACTCAAAGGGGCTCGAGTGTCATACCACTACCTAGGCCTCATACAGGCCCAGCATAAGCCAGTTAGTGGCTAATTGGTTTGCGTGTGAAAGGTCCGTAACGGAAAAGGACTTGGCTTCAGCTGAAAATTAGTTAATTCCAGGAAGATTACGGGATGGGGGCTGTAGCCAGGAATCATTCTCAATGGCCTTGGGTCACCTAGATTACTCAGGAGAAATCCTGGAACCTGAACAGATGGTCCTGGCAGTGATAAGTAAACGGGTGCAGGATAGGGATCAGATTCCCCTCAGAAGTGCTAGTGTATGCTGGGAAAATTATTACACTGCTCTTTGTTTGGAGTATTTTAAAATAACATGGATTAACAGTAACATTGTCACATTTAGTAAATGTTTTCTTAAAAGGTTAAACTAAGGCTATGTACTACAGAGGCCTGAGCATAGGCAGTAAAGGCATAATCTAGCCCCCAGGTGTATCTAGAAATTTAGAACCCAAACACTAACAGAAGCCAAGGGTATAATAAAATGCATAATAAAACTACTTAAAAGGCAATCCTTGTTTTAGGCTAGAAGTACTTAGATACAGTGCTTATGTACAGCAGAGTGTGTCATGGTCTGCAGTAGAGAATACCCATAATGCACCGTGTGCTGCAGATCCCTTTCCCTAATACCACATAATCTGCACGATCGTGTTTGCCCTTGAGTTACAGTGTCCCTGACCTCACTGGGCCTCAGAGCTGCTACTATGTGGATGCCTGGGTTAGGCATCTTCGAGGGAAACGCAGAAGTTGCGTGATTGGGTAATGTGGGAGGTTCCATTCTCTTCTGACTCAGAGGATTTGGGGGGTCAGCAGAGGGCGCTGTGGCCTCACACCTCCACGGTTGTGGGTCCTGGGTGATCAGTTTGCATGTTCTCACCCTATTCGCATTGGTTTCTTCTGGGTACTCTGGTATCCTCCCACAGTTTATGAAAAAGGGATTTAGATGAATTGGTGCCACTACACTGCCCATAGAGGTTATGTGCCCTTTGAAGGACTGGCATCCTGTCTAGGCTGCCCTACAGCCTTGTGCCCCATGTTTCCTAGGATAGCTGCCAGAATCAATATACTGGATTAGTGTCTAAGGAAGACAGACAGATGGTTGGATGTGTTGAATTGAAATAAACCCTTGTTTGCTTTCAGATTGACAACAGGGGCATTAGTGTCGAACACCAATGTCAAAGGGTATCCCTCTGGTGTTAATGATGCCACGCACTCTGACAGCCTTGATAGAAAGTTAGGTTGCCCTCCTGCGCCACCCCCCTACATCTCTGCCCATGTCTGCACACCTGAGGCAGGACCACAGGGCCGGCTTACCAAGCATGCTCCCGGCAATGAGGATGTCAAAGAGCGTGTCGGCATATCGACGGTAGTCAAGTCTCGAACCGGTTGCGTCCAAGAACTTGGCTACAGCATCCAGGTCCCCGCCTGCTTCGTTGAGGCCCCCGACGATCGTATCTCGAAACACTGTGGGCTCAAATTTCTCTTTTTCATCTGGACAAGTGAGGCAAAGAGCAGAACGTGAGCAGGTGACTTCCCCAACGTCAAGGAGGCTGCATTCATAATCCATGTCAAATCCCTGCCTGCAGTGCTAATGCTAACATCATCCAAAACTACTGCCTGCAGTGCTAATGCTAACATCCCACCGAACCACTGCCTGCAATGCTAATGGTAACATCAGCCTGAACTGCCGCCTGCAGTGCATATGCTAACATCACACGGAACCAGTGCTCCTACAGTAAATTTAGATTAGGTTTCCATGATTCTGAATGCAGAATCTGAATATCTATTTCATAACAGAAGGGAAAAATGCGCAAAGTAGATGGGAATTTGTGGCTTCCAGAATTTAGCACAATGTTCCTCATTCAGATATAACTAAGGTATGCTGCTCTTACAGTGTTCGTTGACATTTACAGGGAAACTGCTCACTGCTGAACAATGTTGGTTAAGTAGGTTGATGCTATGCGAGCTTGTGATGTGGAAAGAGGCCCAGTCCTGCAGGGTATTTAACCATCAGGTCTAATCTATTTAACTTGCAGAAGAAGCATAAATATGCCCCAGTAAATGCCCACTTATGAGAAAAAACAAACCTGAACGAATGAAACAAAGTCAAACAAAACAAAACAAAAACAACCCTTCCCTGATAAGTGCACTCCACTTGCAAATGCCCACGAATGGGAGAAAAACAAACCTGAATGAATGAAACAAAGTCAAACAAAACAAAAAAAAAAACAACCCTTCTCTGATAAGTGCACTCCACTTGCAAATGCCCACGAATGGGAGAAAAACAAACCTGAACGAATGAAACAAAGTCAAACAAAACAAAACAAAAACAACCCTTCCCTGATAAGTGCACTCCACTTGCAAATGCCCACGAATGGGAGAAAAACAAACCTGAACGAATCAAACAAAGTCAAACAAAACAAAACAAAAACAACCCTTCCCTGATAAATTCACTATGATGGGGGGTTATTTCACTGAGCAAGAGTTTCCAAAGCAGAAAGGCTCTGGCTTTGATTAAAATTCAGCTGCTCTGAACTGACAGAAACCGCCTGGTTTCGTGCCTGACCATTGAGACAATGCTCTCAAGGGCTGTCAGCGAGAGCTTCTGGGCCACACAATTGCATAATCACAAGTTCTGGGCATGTAATCACACTGCCACGAGAAAGCTGTTCAACACCTGACTGCTGCCAAAAGATGGAAAGGCTATTAATAGAAAGGAGCCTTCTAGAATGACAAGAAGGGTGTGTGTGTGTTTGTGGGGAAGGGGGAGTTATTGTGCAGTCAAAAACATCTTTAGCTCCTACTAAGACCTGTCTCTTGCTGTCTCGGCCAAAGCCAGGTTCTTCTTTGGTTTCTGCCGGTTGACGGACGGTTAAAGGAGGGAGGAAGTGAAGAACTCACCCCTTTTCCTGGTCTTGAACCTCTGGCCTGTTAGCACTGGCTTCTGTTGCTTACCGGTATTCATAAAACTCCTGCAGGAGACAATGTCAGGGGTCAATGAGGCAACTCATCAACACATCCATCCATCTTCTGTTAGCACTTATTCGGTACGCACTCATGGTGAGCCTGACGTACTGTATACAGCAGGAAGCATGAGGTGCAAGGTAGAGGATGTGCTGAATGAGATGTCAGTCCATCGTTGGACATACACACACAGGGGCATAGAAACTCGTGTGGACGGGAGGATGTGCCCCCCAATATTTCATTTGACTTTATTCATTCCCCTCAATAAACAGACCTTTCTGGTGGAGTTTAATCTCATTGTGTCATATCTCTGTTGCTTCTCAGACTGCGATATTCGATGCCCTTTGCCATAACGGTCTGGTGTCTTTGTGGCATGTTTTTATGTTCTTTTACGTTTGTTTTTGTTTTTGTTACCTTGCTGCAAAACCAATTGGCCTCTGGGGACAGTAAAGTTGAAAGCTGAAGGTTGAGTTGGAGTGTCTGGAGAGCCAGAATAGGCAAACTTTCTGCAGGGGCAAGTTTTTCCATTTCATATGCATGAACAGTGTATTTAGGTCAAAAAGGAGATAAAACTGGTGAAATGCATGCAGCTGACGGTGAGTCGGAGCAGCTTCCCCAGTCCAGAACTTCCCTCTTTAGCTGCTGCCGCTTTTGGTCTCAGGACATATCGCTCCTCTTTGGCCATCGGGGAGCCGCCAACTCCCCCCTCCCACGCCACCACACCGGGACATGTACCCGGCAGATATATATAGCGGGCTGGCCCCCGGCACACGGACCGCCCGGCTCTTATTACTACCAGGGCCCGGGCTGTCGGGCCACTCCTCCCCGCTCACTTTCTAACAGCTGGGCGCCACTTCAGGTGCACCTGACCCGAAGATGTAACATACAGTACCGGCGGAGTATGGGAGCAGAGACAGGCGGGGCTGGGCTGGGGTCCACCGGTTCAGAACTGTGGACCTGTTCTGATAGTGGCCCTTTAACTGGAGCCCAGCAGAGCCAGAAAGAAGAGTGAGGAACACCAATCTCAAAAAATTACAGTGTTATAAAAATTGTTATAGTATTAATGAAAATAATTGCAGTATTATAATAGTATTATATATTATAGTATTATACTCTGTGAAAATGATATCATAATAAATAATAATAATAATAATAATAATAATACATGGTGCCCCCCCATGACCCTTACCAGGAAAAGAGGTAAGAAGTTAGATGGATGGATGGATGGAATATATGCAATCTGACCTTAACCATTGTCACTGCTAATTAAGTGTAATGAGTAGAAAGGCTGCTGTTTAACCAATGTGGCTGATGTGGGGGTTTGTACATGGATGGTTTGGTCTGACCCAACCCCCCCTTTATGGAATCGTTAACTGAGTGAATAAGGGTGTGAATTGGCTGGAGGCCCTGATCAGCTGATGTGACATCATCAGCGCCTTTGGGGATTCACCGACACACACCTCGCACGAACAGGTCCAGCTGGATCCAGGTGTGACACAATCCAAGCCAAATATGTAAACAACTCAAAAATATGAATACCAGTAGCATGTGTCTGTTTACATGTTATCTGATTGTGTTAAGGCATATCAAAGCTTCCTATTTTAGACAATTTATTACACATAAAAGTGAAGTATTCGATAAAAATTAAATCATATATAAACCTTACAGCAGGATCTGCACATGCTACCCTGACATCTCAGTTGACAGTTTAGCACTGTGCTTGTAACCGGAAATGGATACCACTGCCAAATACCACTGCAGAATACCACTGCCTAATTTCATAATCCGGTTCTCCACTTGAAAAAATATTATTTCTGTTTGCTTACCATAAACACCAAGAGTGTTTCTCAATATGTGTACTTGGCCGTACTTGTGTTCTCGCGTACCCGTTTTACATCATCTTCCACTATCGAGTACCAGTTCCAGTACTAAACAGAAGTACAGAGAGCGGTAAAAATCCCCGGATGTCATTCTCGCCCCAAATATCAAGGATGCATCGGTTCATTCTTGGAAGGCAAGTTAACAAGCTCGGTCTTGCTAAGACCACAAGTACGATCTTTGCATTCTTGGTATTGAGAAACTGTTGTGATCAGTGATGAAACGAAACTGGTATACAGTTATTGTTTTGTTTGTTGATAAATACTGCCCTGTTCTTAATTACACAGCAAATGTACACAAAGCAGAATAATTGATTTTATACTTGCTAACAGTTTTATTAATGAAGGCTCTATATCACTGGTTTTATCACTGGTTTTTTGACACATACCTCTTACTGGGCTCCACCAGCCATTTCCTGCTCCACATTTCTTTCTCATATAGTAATTATATGTATCAATATTCACAGGTACAAATTACGCTTATTGAACCAGCCACTTTATTTTTAAGAGATGCACATTCTGGGGCCTGTATCATGAAGGATTTCTTGCTTAGCTGGATAACTTGTCGGATTTAAGGTGGTCTGGGCTAAATGTAAGTGAATGAAGATAAAGTCTATTTGAACTGGGGCACCTTAAATCTGACAAGTTAACCCGCTATGCAAGAAATCTTGCTTTCTGAAACAGGCCCCTGTTCAATACCAATACGTATATTTTATATTTTTGTGTGTATTTTATTTCAGTGGACACTCTAGACAAAGGCAATGCACAGTATTTCCCAGAGATTTCGCTTGGTCCCGGTGGTCCTAGGCATGAGCACCAACACACACAGATTGCAGGCTGGAGTTGTGTTTCACTTCGGGAACTAGGGCAACGCAACTCGGGGTGGGTGGGGGGTGATACATCTCCCACATTTACTGTGACAGGACATAAGCACTTTTAAATACGTCCTCTCACAAACCAATTATTAAGCAGGCAGATTAGACCAGAGCAGCTCTGAAATGTTAATTTCATAATTTCACTGTGACATTTCCTTTCCTCATTATTTCGGAGACTGTGCTTTTACAAGGCAACTAACAAGGCACACGCCTATGGTAATAAAGACAAAAGACAAAGCTATAATCCCAAATTCTCTCTCTACTGTATTTCAGATGTCAAATCACCTCTGTCATTTGTTGACTGCAGTGTATCTGAGCTGGTAACATGTTTTAGAAATGTTATTTTGGTTTGACATTTTGCAATTATTATTATTATTAAAAATCTTATGGTTACAATAACGATCTACAACAAACTCTAACTTAAACACCTTCGACCTGTAATATGATACATTACAATTTCACTATCCTTCCATTAAGTGAATGAGTTATTCATTATATAGCTTGATTTTTTCATGAGAATGTTTTAATTAACTGTGAGGGTCTCATACCTATTAATATCACCTCTAGTGTGCAAGGTCTCTTTGCATACCCGGTCCTGCTGCCAGATGCTGAAACACAGATGTTAGAAAACGAGCCTTCTCTCACACGAATCGTTAGGACTAGCCTATCACAATTTACAGCACTGCTCAAATAAACACAGAATCCCCAGAAGGGAGTTTATAGACTGATAAACAATGCAAATCTGTAGAGTCTTATACACGCTTTTCACATACACGACAATGACTAAGTACATGTATTGTTACCCTCTCAAATATCACGAAATAATAGTACAGAGCGATTACAGCCTCAGTATTCAAAACGTGTGAGTTTGACTCTTAACACGACCGACTGGCGACTGCCGTCCACGGTGAGTCTCCGAGACCGGTTTGTTTACTTACTTGTCCATGAACACAAAGCAAAAGAAAATAACATTGTCACGAAGCGTTAATGACTGGATACTTATACTTCTTGGGACAAAATAGTAACATTTCTAAAAGTCCCAGCCCCACCTGCACAAACCATTACGTGCCTGCAATCCTCTCAGCTGACTGGTAACCGGGAAGCGGCTTGTCTAATTCTCATGTTACACCGTGTATTCCTGCAATTTGCGCTGCGATAACTATGTGTTTATATGTTACAGTAATGCACCCCTTTGGCCAAACGGGTTTCGTTGCTTTTTATATTAAAAACCCGCCCAAATAGTGCCAAATCCTTTTTCTCTGGATAGATAAACGGGTGTGTTGGTTAGGTTATTAACAGACCTATTGTTCCACATTAGGTCTGCTATAAATCTAAACCAGTTCGTACCAGCTGTGATTAACTGACAAGGTTTAATGTTTTTTAAACTGGAATTTCCACGGGCGAACTGGGAGACGTCTACAGTTAAACATGGATGATCAGTTAGAGCAGGGATATCAAAGCCTGGATAATCCAATACACTATACTGCTTATTACAACTGTATTGCAACATCAACAAGGCGACCTCAGAATAGGTTCCGCACAAACACACTACAAACAGTCCAAACAAACAACTGATACAGTGGTTTTATACACTGTATGTTGTTTTTATCATTTGTAACTATCTAAAATCATATATACAGCTAGCTTGAACAAACCAACGTTTTATTTTGCGTAGTACCGAAGTATTTTGTGAAGCACCTGAGTTTAAGGCAACCGAAAGTCATCCTTCGCAACCTTCGTATAGTACAAGATGCAAAAGTGTCTCTGTAGCACGTGTGTCATCGCTGCCCAGAGCTTTCAGTTTCGTATAATGACAGTTCCAACACTCACATCTAAGCGAGAGAAATGCATGGAATACATCTGCGTTGTGTTATTTAACTTAAAGCCTAACAGACTACGAGGGCTCCCGATTTGGTTTTGGTAGGAATACAAAGTAGTTCTGTACTTTTCTAAAATCTAAAATAAGAACAGTAACATAATTTAAGGATTAAAGTCGCGAATTTTCAGATTTCAAGGACACTACTTTTAAAATAACACATGGTTCTGTCGTAATAATGAATAAATACCTTTTTTGTGGATTTAATCACCAACCTCAATTATAATTTTGAGATCATTTAATTTATAACGCAAGATTTGTTAAACAACTATATTGATGGAATGATAATTTCATAGATTACAGAAGGCAATCTATATGTCCTTTATCTCAGATTATCCCCCAGTCACCTTCTTACCTTGCTGAGGTTGACCCAAGGTAACAAGTTGCAGGACCGCTGCACAGACAGACACAAATCATGTACGCCACCGTGCCCTTCCCATCGAGTGTTATACAGAAGGCATAATCCGTAGCCGTGGAAAACGGGGGTTGCTGTCTTTTTAAAATTGCCGCTTTTAGTACTCTCTAACATGCTGGCATAATTTTAAATACTACACGCACTATAATTTCTTAAATTTGCAAAAAAACATAAATCTGCGACCAGTTATCAACAAGTTATTTATTTGTACTCCGATGGTCTGTAGTGTTTCATCCCTTCATGTCATGTGTGGTACAACCCAAAGGCAGTCTAGTCTGGCGCATAAGCTCTGTTATAAAGTTGTCCGATGTTAGTACAAATTATGTTTAGAGGCTTAAAGTTATGAATGGCGCACTTATGCTTAAATAAACATCTTAAATCGCAACTTCTCTAAAATTAAAAGGTCTTAGGACATCACTGCATGGCTTCTTCGGAAGAATTATATCTCCGCTCCGGAGAAGGAATTATTACAGGTTATTGTTGCAGGTAACATGAAAGTCTTGTTTCTGTGTCTGTCAATTAAACACAGTTTAGGCCTATTCTAAAAACGCCAGACATACAACATATACTGTAGTGAAAATCTATTACAAACTCGTCGCGTACCTATACAGGTGTGAAAATCTGTGGAGAACTGCTATATTGCTTCATTGTTGAGGTAGTTTGACGTGAAATAGAAAGAAATTAGCCGTAGCTTATTGAGAGTTTTTGCTTTCGCTCTAATTCACAAAAAGTTTTAATTTCGTAATTTATAAATAACTGTGGTTGTGATTTTGATTATATATATCCGCACCAAACCCAGTCTCCTTAAAAAGTCTTTATACTGTACTATACTACAGTAGTACTTACATGCACTAATTTTCTTCTTGTCAGGGAGGGGTCCGGAAGCTTTGGTTTCAGGCTACTGGGATGGACAGTCGTTCGAGTAACCTGTGTATGTGTGGTGAGTCGCGCAAATGAAGGTACTTCAAATCAACGTACATTTACCCTTATTAGGCTGCAGCGTTCATGGGTAAGCTAGACCGGGTTTCGTCCCAGGATGCAGCCTTCACGGGTAAGCTAGACCGGGTTTCGTCCCAGGATGCAGCCTTCACGGGTAAGCTAGACCGGGATCCGTCCCAGGATGCAGCCTTCACGGGTAAGCTAGACCGGGATCCGTTGAAGCAGGGGTTGGATTGGCATCTGCCTGGACGGCAGATGCGCAAGTTTTGCGCTTGTGTGTCTGGGTGCTGGGGTAGGTGGCCGAGCCGCCTTTCCGGGGGCCAGCAATGGGGGGCTCCTTTACAACATCAACCCCATCAAGGTGTGGCCTACGGTACCTTCAAAAATGGATCCTTAGGGATCCGCAGACAGTCCATGGAGCAAAAATGTGGACTGTATGACAGGGAGCTGGGAGGGAGCAAAAATGTGGACTGTATGACAGGGAGCTGGGAGAGAGCAAAAATGTGGACTGTATGACAGGGAGCTGGGAGAGAGCAAAAATGTGGACTGTATGACAGGGAGCTGGGAGAGAGCAAAAATGTGGACTGTATGACAGGGAGCTGGGAGGGAGCAAAAATGTGGACTGTATGACAGGGAGCTGGGATGGAGCAAAAAGCTGGGACCCCTGAGGACCAGGTTGGCAAACACTGGGTTAGACCATTGTATCTACAGGACAAGGATATACACTAATCTGAACAGTCAGGTTTTTATTAAACCCTATTGTAATGGAGTAGAATCTGAATCAACCCTCAGATTAAAAGCTCACCTGCAGTAATTAGTTATAGTTCAATGAAACACTGTAACTGATTGGGTTTTGGAGCACAATTGTACATAAGTTATTACTGCATGTGGTTTAATGTGCCGTTGCATTGCCGCTTATTGCTGTACAGTTTGAATGCTGACCCTGCTGGATCCCATACAAGGTCACATGACTCTGGCTTTGAGTCAGAGCCACTCAGTCTGTCTAAATATAGCTGACTGGTAGTTATTTTAGTCTGGAGAGGAAAAGGTGGAAAACTCGCCAGCGTGTCTCACTAACTTTTAAGAGGTTTGTTCTTTTGACTGGAAAGGCAGTGTGACTTCACTCATTCATACAAACGTGAGGCTTTTTGTTGGTCGCAGGTCCATATGCACAGTAAAACACTAAAACCATTTTACACCCCTATTTTTAAAACCCAGAGTGAAGAAATTACTGTACTATGCATTGCATATCCATTTATGCATTGCATATACACTCACCTAAAGGATTATTAGGAACACCATACTAATACGGTGTTTGACCCCCTTTCGCCTTCAGAACTGTCTTAATTCTACGTGGCATTGATTCAACAAGGTGCTGAAAGCATTCTTTAGAAATGTTGGCCCATATTGATAGGATTGCATCTTGCAGTTGATGGAGATTTGTGGGATGCACATCCAGGGCACGAAGCTCCCGTTCCACCACATCCCAAAGATGCTCTATTGGGTTGAGATCTGGTGACTGTGGGGGCCATTTTAGTACAGTGAACTCATTGTCATGTTCAAGAAACCAATTTGAAATGATTTGAGCTTTGTGACATGGTGCATTATCCTGCTGGAAGTAGCCATCAGAGGATGGGTACATGGTGGTCATAAAGGGAGGGACATGGTCAGAAACAATGCTCAGGTAGGCCGTGGCATTTAAACGATGCCCAATTGGCACTAAGGGGCCTAAAGTGTGCCAAGAAAACATCCCCCACACCATTACACCACCACCACCAGCCTGCACAGTGGTAACAAGGCATGATGGATCCATGTTCTCATTCTGTTTACGCCAAATTCTGACTACCATTTGAATGTCTCAACAGAAATCGAGACTCATCAGACCAGGCAACATTTTTCCAGTCTTCAACTGTCCAATTTTGGTGAGCTCGTGCAAATTGTAGCCTCTTTTTCCTATTTGTAGTGGAGATGAGTGGTACCCGGTGGGGTCTTCTGCTGTTGTAGCCCATCCGCCTCAAGGTTGTGCATGTTGTGGCTTCACAAATGCTTTGCTGCATACCTCGGTTGTAACGAGTGGTTATTTCAGTCAAAGTTGCTCTTCTATCAGCTTGAATCAGTCGGCCCATTCTCCTCTGACCTCTAGCATCAACAAGGCATTTTGGCTCACAGGACTGCCGCATACTGGATGTTTTTCCCTTTGCACACCATTCTTTGTAAACCCTAGAAATGGTTGTGCGTGAAAATCCCAGTAACTGAGCAGATTGTGAAATACTCAGACCGGCCCTTCTGGCACCAACAACCATGCCACGCTCAAAATTGCTTAAATCACCTTTCTTTCCCATTCTGAAATTCAGTTTGGAGTTCAGGAGATTGTCTTGACCAGGACCACACCCCTAAATGCATTGAAGCAACTGCCATGTGATTGGTTGATTAGATAATTGCATTAATGAGAAATTGAACAGGTGTTCCTAATAATCCTTTAGGTGAATGTACATGTCCTTCCTTGGGATACAGGTGTCATTACAATATGTACTTAGTAAGTTTAATGAACTTTAATGAAAGTTCTTCATTGAATTTTGAGGACTGATAGTTGTGGTTCCCAATACTGTAACACATGACGAGGAAGCCTGACTTTAGGTCGTTAACAGTCTCACAACATCTCAAAAACAAAAAATGGACTCGATAAGTTTTGGAATTTTGCTCTTCCTTTTTTATGGGACATTTATTCCCAAAAGGTAGACTAATAGTTTGATTGGGGGGGGGGGCACAATAAAATGGACAGATAGCCATCATGAAAAAAAATTCAAACCCTTCATACAAAATCGCTTCTCTCATGTTTCTTCCTTCATCAGATCATTTTACTAGGTGAACAATACTGAGACCCAATAGCGGAGACAGAAATCATAGCGTGTCTGGGCCGGAATATCAGATGGGCCAGTTCCATAAAAATTTACCTGCTGACAATATCACTACTGACTCAACTACATATATTTTTCATTAGTATTAAAGTGACACATGGCATTACCAAGAGCAAATGAACAAAGAGAAAGAAAAATCTATTTGCCTCTCAGCAACACTTTTCCTGTGATTGATCTAACCGTGCACACGCATACCTTTATCATACTGTATCGCTCACTATGAACGCTGAATCAAGTGGGCTAATTTCCATCTGGGTGCAGCGCCATGGCAGCGAAGAACTGTAGGAATAAAATTAATAATATTTGCTTTTTTTGTCTTCTTTAAAAAGATTCATTAAATTAATTGAAAGACGCTAAGCCATTCAGTGTAATATACATTCTGGACTTCATTATTAATAGACAAGGAGGAGTTACATAAAATTCATGCATGGACAGTAGTTGGGAATAAGTTGCGTATGTTTGAGCAACATTTTATGTTGGATCAGTCAGATCACAAGGAAAACAACAACAACAACAGCTTCTCCAGGGTTAGACCGGAGAATTACGCTCACGCCCTGAACCTGGAGGGAAAAACAATAATTTGGACTTAAAAAACGACATACGTAAGGTACTATCATTCTCAATTTTTTTTTTCTTCACTTTGAAGAAAAACGCCCACCTTCTAAAGCCCAGTCCTCCTTAATTGCTTCTTCAGTACGGGGAGAACATGCAAACCACACACACACACACACACATAGAGTCGAGGGTGGGAGTCGAACCCACCAACCCCAGGGCTGAAATATGGCAGAGCTAACCATTTCAGATAATGCTTATCATTATGTGAAAGTTGACACAATCCTGTTTAGACCGTGAGAAATATTTTTCTCACGGGCATACATTTGTGTCGCTGTAGTTAAGACGACATTTTGCTTTCTGAGTTACCCAATAGGGTGAAAAGTTTAGAAAGGGTCAAAAGTTTAAAGTATTATTGGTGCTTTATCAAGAATACATATTGTGGAAGATATTATATGTATAGCTTGCAGCCAAGGAAGAGGGTCCTCTTTCATCTCCAGGTAATTTTGCTCTGAACAGCACCTACTGGCAGTAAAATGACTGCAGTGGAGGTTCTTATAGCAGACAGCTATCATTGCTAAATGGATGATTGACACGTCCTAGAACATGGTATTGTTGGGGAAAATTCATGCTGTCAAGGGGCTGACTGTGTCATGCTCTTTGAATGGGTATTTGTTATATATTTAGGTAGGTGAGTCATTTTTATTCACTCCGTGCATAGAGACAGGGATTGTAGTTTCATTATTTTTAACGGAGCGTCAGTTTCATTTAGATTATTTTTTCACTTATGAGTACTTTAACTGCTTGGGATTTCAATGAGTTAACAGTCTTGGATTTAATGAACACTTTAGTGAGCGACATGATCTTGCTTTGAGTTATAACATAAGAACATAAATAGTTTACAAATGAAAGGAGGTCATTCGGCCCATCAAGCTTGCTTGGGGAGATTTCAACTAACTAATTCAACAAGCTTAAAGTTGTTATAATCTCATCTAGCTCTGATTTGAAGGAACCTAAGGTTTTAGCTTGTGCTATACTAACAGGAAGACTATTCCATACTCTAACTACACCCTGTGTAAAGAAGTGCTCAAATCCAAATCTCAAATCCAGTTTAAAATGTTCTCCTACTAATTTCCACCTATGGCCACCAGTTCTTGTATTTGAACTAATATTTAAGTAACTATTTGGTTGAACAGCATCCAGCCCCTAGGACTCTAAGGATTGGGAGTTCAATGTGATGTGTTTTCATCGGGCACAGAATCTCTAACGGCACCCCTGCAATGAACCTTGGCTTTGTGTGGCTGAGGGACTTTCGCCCTCTGGGAAAAATAGATTGGTTCCCTTCTTAGAAGATCTCAAACTCATTGAGTTAAACTTGACCAGGACTGTTCCCTGCTGTCAACATGACCTTCCTCTATGCTTGTTCTCAGATTTGGGCAGCGTGGGTGTGCACTCCCACTGGAGCGGACCGGACCATCCTGCATGCCGCTCGTGCTAAAGCAAAGCCCCGCCGTGGGCAAAGTGGGACAGTCTAATTTTAGGCTGTTAATGCTGAGGCCTCGTGTCTGCCATGTGGACAGTCTCACTGGGTCATTGCTCCTTGCTCAACCTACTCCTCACCCAGAGAGCTACTCAGATCCCTTAAGTTCTAAAGTATTTCTCACCTTCCGGGTCATATGGGCATAATGGAAGGTTGTGTTTTGAACCCGTCCCTGGTAATGTGCAGAATATATCCCTCTTGTTAC